CAAGAGCAAGGGGAAATACAAAGCTCAGCAGACCACCAACTTTCAAGAAGAAGAACAACAACAACAATCCTAATCAGGATGAGAGGACTTGCTTTGTGTGTGGTCAACCTGGCCATCTGGCCAGGAAGTGTCCACAACGCAAGGGGATGAAGGCACCTGCAGAGCAGACCTCTAAGTCTGCTAATGTGACCATTGGCAACACTGGAGATGGAAGCGGGTATGGTAATTTACCTACTGTTTTTTCAGTTAATCAGTCTACTAATTGGTGGGTTGATACAGGGGGCCAATGTACATGTTTGTGCTGACATCTCATTGTTTTCTTCTTATCAGGTCGCACGGGGTTCCACCGTCCTAATGGGGAATGGGTCACATGCTTCTGTTCATGGTGTTGGCACGGTATATCTGAAGTTTACTTCGGGAAAGATCGTGCAGCTGAAGAACGTGCAGCATGTCCCTTCTATCGACAGGAATCTTGTTAGTGGCTCTCGTCTGACTAGAGACGGATTTAAGTTGGTTTTTGAGTCTAATAAAGTAGTCGTGTCTAAACATGGATATTTTATTGGTAAAGGTTATGAGTGCGGAGGCCTGTTCCGCTTTTCCCTTTCTGATTTCTGCAATAAGTCTGTGAACCATATTTGTGGCAGTGTGGATGATGAGGCTAATGTATGGCACTCACGTTTATGTCATATTAATTTTAGCTTGATGTCTCGGCTTTCCAGCATGTGTTTAATTCCTAAGTTTTCCATTGTCAAAGGTTCTAAGTGCCATAGTTGTGTGCAATCAAAGCAACCTCGCAAGCCTTACAAGGCTGCTGAGGAGAGAAACTTGGCACCTCTAGAACTCATACACTCAGATCTCTGTGAAATGAATGGGGTGTTGACGAAGGGTGGAAAACGATATTTCATGACGTTGATTGATGATGCTACTAGATTTTGCTATGTGTACTTGTTGAAAACGAAAGATGAGGCTCTAGACTATTTTAAAATTTATAAGGCAGAAGTTGAAAATCAACTTGACAGAAAGATAAAAAGATTTAGGTCTGATCGTGGTGGAGAGTTTTTCTCAAACGAGTTTGACTTATTCTGTGAGGAACATGGCATTATACATGAGAGGACGCCTCCCTATTCTCCCGAGTCTAATGGGATTGCTGAAAGGAAGAACCGCACAATGACCGACTTGGTGAAATGCCATGTTGGACACCGCGGGATTACCTAAGGCATGGTGGGGGAGGCATTGTTAACCTCGAATCATGTGTTAAACAGAGTTCCTAACAGAAATAAGGACAAAACACCATATGAGATATGGTTTGGGAGAAAACCATCACTTTCTTACTTGCGCATATGAGGGTGCTTGGCGAAAGTCAATGTACCAATAACGAAGAAGCGCAAACTTGGACCTAAGACTGTGGACTGTGTCTTTCTGGGATATGCTCACCACAGCATTGCCTATAGATTTTTAATAGTTAAATCTGAGGTACCTGACATGCATGTTGGTACAATTATGGAGTCTCGTGATGCTACCTTCTTTGAGAGTTTTTTCCCAATGAATGATACACATAGTAGTTCTAGCCAACCCTCTGAAATAATTCCCAGTTCAATCACACCACCAGAACAAACTGAACATACACATGAACATGTTACTGAGGAGGATGACAGTGAAGCTCCTCGAAGGAGCAAAAGACAAAGGACAGCTAAGTTTTTTGGTGATGATTTCACTGTGTACCTCGTGAATGACACTCCTAAGTCAATTTCAGAAGCATACACATCTCCTGATGCAGACTACTGGAAGGAGGCTGTCCGTAGTGAAATGGATTCCATTATCGCTAACGGGACTTGGGAGGTAACAGAGCGACCCTATGGGTGTAAACCTGTGGGGTGCAAGTGGGTGTTCAAGAAGAAGCTCAAGCCTGACGGTACTATTGAAAAGTACAAGGCTCGGCTTATTGCTAAGGGCTATACTCAGAAAGAAGGCGAAGATTTCTTTGACACTTACTCACCTGTTGCTAGATTGACCACAATTCGTGTGCTACTTTCCCTAGCAGCCTCACATGGTCTTCTCGTTCATCAAATGGACGTTAAGACATCTTTTCTTAATGGAGAGCTGGATGAGGAGATCTATATGGATCAACCTGATGGGTTTGTAGTTGAAGGTCAAGAAGGCGAAGTGTGCAAATTGTTGAAGTCTTTGTATGGTCTAAAACAGGCTCCTAAGCAATGGCATGAGAAATTTGACAAAACATTGACATCCGCAGGCTTTGCAGTCAATGAGATAGATAAATGTGTGTACTATCGCCATGGTGGGGGTGAGGGAGTTATTCTGTGCTTGTATGTTGATGACATACTGATATTTGGGACAAACCTTGAGGTGATAAATGAGGTTAAATCATTCTTGTCTCAAAATTTTGATATGAAGGATTTGGGAGTAGCTGATGTTATCTTAAACATTAAGCTAATTAGAGGTGAGAATAGAATTACACTCTTGCAGTCCCATTATGTAGAGAAGATCTTGAATCGCTTTGGCTACATTGATAGTAAGCCTTCTCCAACACCTTATGATCCTAGCTTGTTGCTTCGCAAGAACAAGAGAATTGCTAGGAATCAACTGGAATACTCCCAAATCATTGGCTTGCTGATGTACCTGGCTAATGCAACTAGGCCTGATATCTCCTTTGCTGTGAGCAAGTTGAGCCGGTTTACCTCTAATCCGGGAGATGATCACTGGCGTGCACTTGAGCGAGTAATGCGCTATCTGAAAGGTACTATGGAATTGGAGCTTCACTATTCTGGGTATCCTGCGGTACTGGAGGGATATAGTGATTCTAACTGGATCTCTGATGTGGATGAGATCAAAGCCACTAGTGGATATGTCTTCACACTAGGTGGTGGTGCTGTTTCGTGGAGGTCTTGCAAATAGACTATTTTGACGAGGTCAACCATGGAAGCAGAACTGACGGCACTGGATACTGCTACTGTTGAGGCAGAATGGCTGTGTGATCTATTAATGGATCTGCCTATTGTTGAAAAACTGGTGCCGGCTATCCTTATGAACTGTGACAATCAAACGGTAATTGTCAAAGTGAATAGTTCTAAGGATAATATGAAATCGTCTAGACATGTGAAAAGACGATTGAAGTCTGTCAGGAAATTGAGAAACTCCGGAGTTATAACATTGGATTACATCCAAACAGCTAGAAACCTGGCAGATCCTTTCACGAAGGGACTATCACGAAATGTGATAGATAATGCATCGAAGGAGATGGGTTTGAGACCCATGTGAGTTATACTATGGTGGTAACCCAGTCTATGTGATCGGAGATCCCGTGAATTAGAACCTGGGAAGAACAAACCATTAGTAAACTAGAGGAGAGTACCAATCTATACCCTCTCTAAGTGAAGATGCATGTACTCTCATGAGCTGCAAGGCAGGTTGGCTATGCCTTAATGAGTTCTGTTAGCTTTAATTAGCGAAGATGTTGTCCTGCAGAGCATTCTTGAAAGAACTCACCTTTGTAAGCTTGACTGTTGGTCGCAGTCTATGAAGATTTTGGGTGAATCTTCTAGGAAGCTTACTAAAGATCTAGGAGTATGACTTATACGCTCCACCCGAGGGGTAGTCTACAGACGGTCTAGTACCAGATAAGATTCTGAGTGAAACTTGCTTGCACAAGACTTGCAATTCAAGGCGTAGTCCATTGTTCAAGTTGTGAGTAAGTGTAGCTTGGAGTTCTAGGTGGATGTTCAACCTTGATCGGTCTCCATCGAAGCGCTGGTATATAAACAGTACATTGAAAAGGCAAATCTCAGTGGGATTTTGAGATTTGGTGGGGGATTGTTGGAATTAATAGATGGGCTAAGGCCCATTCGAAGATTAATTCTTTGGAAAATCACAAAAGCCCACCTCATGGGATGACATGCATGTGGAGTTTAGTACCACCTTGCTTATTCTAGGAGAGGGGGACCTTCTTAAAAGGGAGGATGCCCTCCTAGCCACTTGAAGCATGTGTGGTGGAGAGAAGAGGGGGAACACGCACGCGCTCGCTCGCCTCGCCTGGCCTGGCAGGGCAGGCGGCGCGCGTACACGACGTACGCGTCGAATGGTCCGCACAATTGGCTCCTTACCCTTGCGAAGATGTAGCCTCCTTTTACAGTTTTGTTTTGCTGCAGGAAAATTCGGATTTGTTTTGTTTTGGAAACATTCCGAAAAATTCGGTGCGTGAAAACGGCGTGGAGTACGGATAAGTTACGCGCGACTTATCCGGTTCGGTTACGCGGAGTGGAGATCGTGCGGGCGCCCTGATCAAGCGACCTATCTCTATATAAACCGAGCTGCCGCCTTCACGCAAAACACACGTAATCAATCTAGGGTTTGCCTCCTCCTCTGTGTTGCGCCGTCACTCGTAGACTACTCCATCCCGCTCGCTGGCGTGCACCTGCAATCGGGAGAGCAGGTCTTCGGAACCTCTGCCTTCGACGTCCTGCACCGGGAGAAGGCGGCAATAAGGTTTTTGGGAAGCGCTTCGCGCGACTGCTCCCTGTTCGTCCGCGACGGCTCGCCTTCCTCTCCGCTCGCGTGCTGCGCGCCTTCGTCGACGCTCGCAACCGCGAGTAGTTCCTGCCGAGCAACCGGTTTTTCCGCCACCTCGGTACGTGTTCGACATGTTACACATATTTGATCTGTTCATGTTTTACTGCTTAGTTTACATGTGTAGATCTAATGATGTGTTAATGCTAGTATACATCTGTAATGTCATGATTTATTTATAGAATATATTAAATCATTATATGTCTATATTCTCAACATGCGTTTATAAGGGACGCTTTGCTTGACGATGAGCGACTCATGTAACTACGGGCAAAAATAAACCCGGTTTTCTTTCCTAACCGAAAGCCATGAAAAATCAACAAAAGTATAACCTTTGGACCTCAATTTAGAAATTCAATTCAAAACGTCCAGCTTATTTCCATACCGCTCGCCCGCTCTTTTTTCCGAAATCAGCGAGTACACATTTGGAGGGAAAGAGCACCCATGGTTTTGCAATTTTTTTCTTTGCCCTAGTTGCATCCAAGTCCAAAGTCCAAGCAGAGAGAGAGAGAGACGCTGCCTCAGTCGTCTCGTCTCGTCACGACAGCACAGTACACAAGCCTCCTCCTCCTCTTCAGCAGCTGCTTCACACTCACACTGCCTCCTCTCTCTCTCTCTCTCTCTCTCTCCATCTTGCTGCTAAATCCATCCGCACCTAATCCGGCGTGCGGTGCGGGAGCAAGCAAGGAATCCACCCCCCCGTGGCGACAAGAGAATCGGATCGAGGGCGTGCAGGCGCAGCTGGCGAGCGAGCGAGCAGGGGAGGAGGGGAAGGAAAGCTCTTGGTACACCCAACCGTAGAGGCGGAGAGGGCATCGGCTCAGACGGTGGCTGCAGTGCAGGCCTCAGCTGGGGTCCTCGGCTCGGATCTGGGGAGGACGCGCCGCGGCGGAGGCGATGCAGGTACGGGGAGCTTCTTATTCTTTTACTAGTACTAAGTTTGGTTCTCTAGCTTTGGAAGGTGAAGTGGGGGAGCTTTGTTTGTGGGGGGATTTTGGGGGGTTTGATTTGATCTAGGGGTGTGTGACTGTGTGTGTGCTTGTTAGGGTTCTTGGAGCGGTGTGGAATTCGGCAATGCGGATGGGTTTCTCCTGGTGGTGTTTCTTGCTGCAGCATTTTCTTTGTTCTTTGACTTGTTGAGGTGGGGATTTCTTGGTTTCGCTGTTTCTGAGCGATTCTTTTCCTTCCCGAAAATTTTCTCTCTCTCTCTCTCTCTCTTTTTAACTCTGTACGAGCCCTTTTTGTGTGTGTGTGTTTTCAAAAGATCCATTTTTTTCCTGCTCTAATTTTGGTATTTGCGCTCGACTTTCCTTTTATTTCTGATCAATTTGTTACTAATGGCGTCAAGAACGTTATCAGGGTCGCATGGTTTGCGCTAATGCTGCCTTCAAAATATTCTCGATTTATTTTTGCCTCGAAGGTTTTTACAAGCAGCAACTAGTATTCTTCTTGTGTTGCCTTCCGATTCGACGGTGCCGAATCCTGCAAAACTAGGTTGGCGAACTGTCATTATCGAGACTTCATAGTGGTTTCATACGAGTTATCTGCGGCTGTATTAGTTCTCAACATTTTCCCTCTTTGATCTGTATCTCTCAAGTTTCAATTTCTACAAATTTGGTTTTTTAGATAATGGAATGAAATAGCATCCCGGCCTTTACTCAAAAGAGCTACAGCCAATTATTACAAACTAGCACTATGTAAGAGTGAAGTCCAAATGGAAGCAAACACACCAACCAAACTAGACAAAATAACATTATTCCAGTCTATTGGTAAATCTCCATCCATGATTGGTAAACAGTTGCATAACCGTCGTTTCAAACTTACGACATGCAACAATTAAGAAATCTGCATCTTCATCATACTTTTGTAACTGTGCCCACAGACGAAGCCAATATGTTGCCTTGAAAATGATCTGCATATAAGTAACAGTAGGTGATTTGTCAAAAACCCTATCATTCCTACTCAGCCACAGAGCCCAATACAAGGCAGAAGCTCCAACAAGTATCAGTTTGCTCTTTTTGTTTATGACTCCCTGAAGCCAATCATAAAAAATATAAGATATGCTAGTAGGAATATATAAACCAAAAGAAAACTGAACTGCTCTCCAAATAAACTTTGCAAAATGACAATCAATGAATAAATGTTGGATAGACTCATTTTTCGTACAAAAGCAACATCTTAAATTACCATTCCAATTCCGTCTTGCTAAATTATCCTTGGTTAACACAACTCCCTTAAGCAAATACCACATAAAGATCTTGATCATAAACGGCATCTTGAGTTTCCAAATTAACTTATTTCTGTCAATGTAACCATTATTAATTAAAGCTAAGTACATTGATCTAACTGAGAATTGGCCATTCTGATGATAGTTCCATCTAAAACAATCAGAAGTATTATTCAATTGAATATGAACAATAGATGCACACAATTCATGCCAAAGTGTTAAATTCTGACCAACTAAAGCTCTCCTAAAAGAAACATTGAGCGGAACAGAAGCCATCACACTAGCAACAGAAGAACTTCTCCTTCTGACAATAGCATATAAAGATGGTTACTTTTCTCTAAAGGCCATATTTCCTAGCCATCTATCTTCCCAAAATCTTATTTGTTCCCCATTATTCACAATCCAAGAACCCATAATTAAGAAAGTGTTTTTGACTTTCATGAGTCCTGACCAAAAATGGGAGTCACCTTGTTTCCTGTCAACTTGGGTTATAGACTTATTATAAAGATACTTTCTCTTCAATAGGTCTTGCCAAACACCATTTTCATTTATTAACTACAAATTTGGTTAGTAATGGCAAGGAAATGCCAAAATGCAGCTTTTTTTTACGGGGTTGCGCACCCTCGCTTCCTTTCCACTTGATTCGTTTTGCATTGCTGCTATATTCATGGAGATCTAGTTTAGTACATCGTGCAAGTGAACAGGTTGGTTTCTAAGGGGGTAGGTAGGTGTGGTGAAAAGGATATTAAGGCCACTATGGTGTTCTTGGAAGTGGTCATAATTCACGAACATGTCCGTGATTTGTTTTTTTGGCAATCGATGGAAAGTTCTTGATTTTAAGTGTGGACTTTGGGGGATCTATATGAATTACGAAATTGTACTAGGATACGGTTTTTTCTTCGCGGGTTAGTGAGTGGTGTGTGGGTCTCTCTAACGCCCTCTAGACTAGAGCTGGGATGGATTTGGATTTAGAGAATTTTTTTAGTGTGGCCAGCACTTGTGTTTTGGCTGCAAAATTTGTGTGAAAAGAAGTACTGAACAGTTCTGTCAGGTGTTTTTTCTGCTTGATTATCAAAATGAAACCTGAGCTCAGATAAACCATGTTGTACTTATGATTCTCGCATGCTTGATTTTGCAGGGTTTGCTTGTAGTGAAATTCTGCACCCAATGAATTATACATACAATATATAAGATGGCAACAGAGGTCACTCAGAATTATTTTGCATGGTCACAGGAGGAATCACCTGTGCAAGACAGCTCTCAGGTAATCTCTCTCTCATCATATTTGATCACAGAGCTTGTTGGTTCAATTCAAATTTGAAATTTCTAGCACAACATGGTAACTTTCCTAGGTAATCTCTCTCATCTGTGAATTATCGTGTCTGTGTGCGTGTGCGTTTGTTTGTCGGCATATATGGTGGTTAGATGAAGTAAAAATGGATAACCTAAGAATTGGCAAGTAGTCATCTACCTTATGCAGTACAAATTGTAGAAGTTCCATGCTGAGAACTAGTATTAGGCATGCCCACGTTTGTTGATGTTGTTATTTAAATTCTAGTTAGGAAATAATGGCTTCGAATAGGAAATAAACCATTGCCTTTGTCAATAATCTCACTGATTTGTATCTATGCAATTTCTTCCTTTAGGGAACACCACAAGTGTTCGACCATGGTTCCATATCTTTTGGAAGATTTGAGTTGGAATCACTAGCATGGGAGAAGTGGTCTGTATTTGCCAATGATAGGCGCCATGAAGAGTTTGGCAAGTTCAATGGTTTGGTTGCTAAGAAGAAGGCATACTTCGAAGAATACTTCAAGAGAATTAGGGAGTTAAAGGCTTTACAACAACAAAACCAGCAAACTGAACTTAATCTTGACTATAGTGGTGATGGTAGTGATTCTAGTCAGACAGGAGAGGATGTGCCAACTGCAGATCAGGCATCTCCTTCTGGATCTGGAACCCTTCTTGATTCCATGGTACAAACAGGTGTTCAGACTATATTTGAGAATGATTTGGAATGCTATGATGATAATGACAAAGAGATGTTAGATAAGGATATTTCTCCATCAGTTGGAGGCACATGTCAAATTGAGCAAGAATTCAGAGAAAGTGCAAGCGGTGGTAATCATCCTGACAGAATGGTGGATGTGTTGCAGCAAAACACCAACTGTGGTCCAGATGATCTGGGAAGGCCCATGGAGTCTATGATGACTCCGAAGAGAACTGTCAAGAAAGATTCACTGGTTGGTCAAGCTGCAAAAACAATGCCAAAGACTGTCAATATGACTTCTAGTAATATTCCGGGTCATGCAGTTGTTAATAAGGTAATGGCACAGTAAATTCATATTTTCTCCCCCATTATAGTCTGGTGACATATGCTTTTTTATCTGACCTGACCTGGGCAATGATCTACTTCACTGTCGTGGACATCAACAATATGCACCCACTATTTGTGGAACATACTAACATAATTTAGGCCTTCTCTTAGTCGAAGAACCCACATGCCTTCTTAGCTTGATATCTACAGTCACTTGCTACATAAGTTGCAATTGATCGGGCTATGTTGCAATCTGCATTTATTACACTGGGAGCATGATTGCACGAACATTTATTTCATAAGGTTATAATATTATTTTCTCATGAATAATTTCAGGGAACTGATTCAGGCAAATCCAGTGTGGTGAATCGTAGAGCCAAGCCAGAAACTATTCAGCAAAGGCTAAAAGCAGTAACTGGCAATATTGTTGACATCGTTGGAAGAAGCAAACTTGTGGTAAAAGAAGTCCCTGGTATAATGGGTGTTAGAAGACCTTCCTCTCCAGCACTACAACGCCCCTCCACCAGGGAACGACGACCTGTCACCAGAGATAGTTCACGGAAGGCTCCTGAAGTTGCCACCATGTGCCGGCCTTCTACTGCTGAAAGGCGCCCTGCCACCCGGGAGTTGGCACCAAAGCAAGCCAACACAGTTGTTCCGTGTCGACCATCTACACCAAACAGGCGCCCTATGACCAGAGAGTTGGCGCCAGTGCATTCAAGCATTGCTACCCCACGTCGACCTTCTACTGCTGAAAGGCGCCCAATCACCAGAGGGATGGCACCAATGCATCCTAGCATTGCTACCCCAGTTCGACCTTCCACTGCTGAGAGGCGCCCTACCTCAAAACAGATGGCTCAAAAGCATGTTGGTATGGCCACCCCATCTCGGCCATCCACTGCTGAAAGGCGACCTATCACCAGAGAGGCTGCACGGAAAAACGCTGATGTTGCCATCTTGCATCGACCTTCTACTGCCGAGAGACGCCCTATCACCAGAGAGACTCCACAGAAGCATGCTAACGTTGTCGCACTGCATCGGCCTTCTACTGCGGAGAGACGACCTGTTGTTAGAGAGATTGCTCCAAAGCATGCTGATGTCACTCTCACTCCTGCACGCCGGCCATCTACCTCTGAAAGACGCCCTGTCACCAGAGAGACTGCACTGAGGCACAGTAATTTCACCGGTTCATGTTGGCCTTTGACTCCTCAAAGGCACATCAGCAGGGGAAGTGCACAAATACATGCTGACGTTAGCACCACCCCGCGTCATCCATCTACTGGAGAAAGGCGCCCTATCACCAAAGAGAGTAACATAAAATTGGATGAAAAAACACCTATCAAGTTGAGAGGCATGCTGGCTAACCCAAAGGGTGCTATGGCTACAGTAGTATGTTCTGACCCCTTCTCTTTCAGACACAACAATGATTGTATCGTAAAAACAAAATAATTCTTATATCTACTGAATTAATGTGGAGAATATGAAACATCAAAGTTTCTCATGCTGAATTTCTTATATCCATTTTGTTCTTCATGCAGGTCACTCCCCAGAAGGCAATTACTCAAAAGCTTGTTAAGAGTAGCAAGCCAGAAATGAAAAGGTAATCTTTTGCAAAACTATTCAGAGATGCTTAATTGATTACTTCTCCACTGAGATTTTAACAACTTTTGGTTGCATTTGGCAGTTGTGCTAAAGAGAGGACAGAACTTCAAGCAGTTGGGAAACACAAAGCAAGGTGCTACTTCTGCTAAGGAGCTGGAATGCTTGTTATGTTCGTATATTAACTTAAAAGAGTATTGATCTAACACAACTTTATCATTTTCTTCAGTTCTGTTAACCTTCCTCCAAGGGAAATGTTTACTTCAAATGTTAGAGCCAATCGAGTCCCAGAAAGCTTCAGAAAGCCAAACAAGGTGACATGCCCGAGCTTATTTTTTGTTCCATGCTGTTTGTCTAAATTGCATTCATTAAGTACTGTAGTGACATATGCAGTGCTGGCGCCTTTGGCCATTTTTATTGCTGTCTGGCGCCTTTTACAACTAGATTAATTACATTTGCATTATGCATTTTCTTTGCATCCTGGATGCTTCCCTGTTGGACACACTATATTGATAAATCTAGTTCAAGTTACTACCTGCTGCCACAGGGGAAATCCGCAAGTAAATTTTAGCGATACAATATGGAAATTGTAAAGAGTGGCTTATATTTAAAGGTGTTCCACACCTTATTCTGGGAGGACTTTGCATAGTCTTGTTCCAGCCTACACTGGAATCTTGCACTGCACTTCACGTTAGTGTTGTAGCATATGGCTATAAGCTAACCCATACCTCTGAATTCTAAAGATTATCTTATGGGAGACAAACTGCAAATGAACATGAGATAATGAAATTTTCTACTGCATTACACGCTTTTGATTTGCTGATAATGATGATTATCATTTTTTCAGGGCATTCAGGAGACAGCGAGATCTCAAATATCCTCATCAAAGAGTGCAACTCCTGCACAGACTAGAAGTATAAAGACAAGGGCTCCCAACGTATGTGTTTTCTCCTCTTATACTACTGTTCAGTAATAATAGTTGGAATTCATTCATGGTTTGTTGCATAAAATTTTCATGTTTATACCTTGAAGTTGGATTTGATCTTTTGCTCCCTTGATTCTTCAGCCACCTCCGCCTCCTCCCCCACCGCGGCGACCTTCTCAGATATCCAGCAAGACAAACACAAATAACTTGTCTGTTGGTGGAAGGAAGCCCAAGTAAGCAAATTCATCATGCCTCATAAGAATCAAATGACATATTTTGCAATATCATATTGACAAACCAACTCACAACAAGCTTCTTGTACACAACATATGTGAACTGTAACCTAAAAATGATCTTTTTGACTCCAATGCAGGGCTTCTACTCCACACTGGCACTAACCCAATCGAAAGTCTCCAATCTAGGATCCTGCAGAACAAGATAGCTGTGAAAAAATGTGAAGAAAAAATGAGGCATTCGACGCATCTAAAAGCATTAACCGTGCTGTTCCTCGTTATCTTCTGTCATTAGTCGTTACTAGTACCACTTACCATCACTTTTTGTCACCTATTAGAAGTAACCGATGTAGTGTTCGTATCTACCAATCTGTAATATGTCCAGTTCTCCACTAATCCCGTAGTTCTACCGTCCAAGAATTTACCTAGAACATTGTATATACCTGAAATAAATGGAGCTTTTGGCTGATGAACCTTGACCAACGAGATCTTCGAAGGTAGGCTGCAGTTCTTGAATTGTTGAATTATTATTATCTTCATCTTCATTCATCTGTAACTACTGATTCATCTGGTTTGTTATTACCGATCGTAATGCCGTTGTTTTGTCAAAAAAAAAAAAGGAGATCGGTTTGTTATTACCGATCATAATGCTGTTCTTTTATAAAAAAAAAACATGGATCTATTGGCATAATCTTTTTGCGCCAGGTACTCCGACCATTACTCGGTTACCGACGAAAGCCGGTGAGATTTGGATAAACTTCGCCAAAAATTTAAATTTCCGTTTGATCTCTCAAACGTGGGCTGGTTTAGGCCTGTTTAGTTCCTACACAAAAATTTTTCACTCCGTCACATCGAATGTTTAGACACATATATAGAGTACTAAATATTAATAAAAAAAATTAATTACACAGATCGCGTGTAAATTGCGAGATGAATCTTTTAAGTCTAATTGCTCCATGAACAATGTGGTGTTACAGTAAACATTTGCTAATGACAGATTAATTAGGCTTAATAAATTCGTCTCACAGTTTATATGTGAAATATGTAATTTATTTATTATTAGTCCATATTTAACACTTTAAATATGTGACCGTATATCCGATGGGACACATGTAAAACTTTTTATCCCTGTTCTAAACACAACCTTGCTTCACAGTTTCTTGATCTCTATGGGTAGGGGTGGGCAGAAAAAGATCGAACCGAAAGACCGAACCGAAAAGACCGAGACCGAGAAATTCAGTCCTAGGTAATGAAAGACCGAATTTTGTTCGGTCAATTCGGTTAGTTTTCTCGGGTAACCGAATAGACCGAAAAGACCGAATTATCAAAAAATATCTAAATACAATCTACAACCCACTATGTTTAATAGGATTAAACTCTAATTTTTCACATCCCTACTTCTTTTAGGCATGTAACATAATAAGAGTTTTTACTCATAAGTGCTTACGAATTTTTTTTGTGATTTTTGTGTTGAAAGTTTCCACTATTTCTTTGCATATATGAAAATGTTGTTGAATTTCGGTCAGGACCGAGACTGAGACCGAATTTGTCGGTCCTAACATTTTTTCACCGAAATTCAGTCTTCACTTTTTAAAGACCGAAAAGACCGAAAGACCGAAGACCGAGACCGAAATTTTCGGTTAGACCGAATGCCCACCCCTATCTACGGGCTTGATAATATCAATAACCGTAATTACCGAGCGGTTGCGTGACTTGCTGTTGCATTTGTCAACCCTAACATAGTACTACCTCCGTTTCAGGTTGTAAAACTTTCTAGCATTACCCATGTTTTAACCTGCAACGGAGGAAGTAACATCTATACGCTGAAATCCCTTAAAAAAAAAGAACATTTATACGCTGGAACCGATCTGAACCGTCCGTCCACCCACCGACCCACCAACGGTGCGATTTCCACCGTCCACCAAACGCGAGCCGCCTCCACCCTCCACCTATCGAGTCAAAGACGACGACTCTACCAGAGCACGTGGACCCGGTCCACGAACGGAACGCCCCTACACCGAATGGGCCGTTGGGTGTCCACGCCTCCCACACCCACACCCCCCTTGCCTTTTTCTGCAAGACACGGAAACCTTCTGGAACCGCGTGGATTCCCCGAAACGCCCCTGCCCCCACGCTCCACCCGTTCAATAATTCTAGGGGTATTATCGTAGTTTCGCCACCTGCCCTTCCGCCGCGCTGGTGTATACTAGGGCACGCGCTCCTCGGAATCGCCACGAGCCCACGAGCCAGAAAAAAAGGAAAAAAAGAGAGTCGTAGTTCGCCTCTTCTTCCTCCTCTCGTTCTCGCGGCGGCGGCGGAGATGGCGTCGTTCTCGGAGGCTCCCCCGGGCAACCCCAAGGCCGGCGAGAAGATCTTCAAGACCAAGTGCGCCCAGTGCCACACCGTCGACAAGGGCGCCGGCCACAAGCAAGGTGAGCCCCACTCCCTCCCTGCGTCTCGGAGGAGCTAATCTGTAGGGCTTATCCTTTCTCTGTGCTGACTGCGGGGGGATGGGGATCTGGGTGGGGGTTCGCTACGATTCTCTGCTTGATGTGGAGACGGGCGGTTGAGATCGGAACTTGTTGGTGATAGATCTGCCTGTATGCTTCGTGTTGCATTGAATGGTGCTTAGATCTGTGGGATTGGTGATGGGATAGTCGGATTTGTCCATGTATTTGATACTTTCCCGGGTTGATTGCCATGGATTTGCGGGATATGGCATTATTAATGCATATTCAGTTAGGCGCTTCGCCCCCTAACACTTTAAAAGGGCTGTAGCTGTAATAGTTTTAGCTTTGATTAGAGCCCTTATTATAGTCTAGCTTGTTTCAGATTGCTTGCTGCTACTTTGGAATAAGTAGTGATTGTATGTTGAGTCTGATGGGATTGCTGCTTTAGAATTATTTGCTCAAGGAAACGAATCCAGCGTCTGCTTATGGATTGTTGAATAAAACCTCTGTTCCATCTGTTTAGGATGCTTGTATAAGCCTACATACGCTTCCTGGTACTTAGTAGTAATATGTGACAAGCACCAATCTCCATACAAATTGACTACTGTCTTTTTAGCAGTTTATTTTTCCTGATTCTTGGGTGATTTTGTAAGTTTTCCCATTGTTATAGATTGCATTATTATGTGTATGAACCATTGGATGTCATCCACAAATATCTCCATTTGCTGTCTATCTGTTCATGCTTACTTAGTGTTCGGAGGATTGTGTGGTTGATGATGAGATCCATGTTTGTAATCTTTTCAGGTCCAAACTTGAATGGTCTGTTTGGAAGGCAGTCAGGTACCACCCCTGGTTATTCCTACTCTACGGCCAACAAGAACATGGCTGTGATCTGGGAGGAGAACACACTTTATGACTACCTGCTTAATCCTAAGAAGGTATGATTAATGATAACGTTGGCCACCTGAGTTCTATAATTTTACTTGTAGCCTGCTATTGTTTCCCTCCTTTTAGCGTGCACAGGGTCGGAACTAAATGTTGGGGTTTTCCAGCCTGTTGTTATTTTGTATTCCTGTTGCTTGTGACACTCTAGAGTAATCTTCATGCTATCTAGTTTTCTGTATTGACCGTCCTTTACCATACAAAACTTCAAAACTCTTAAACATGGTTAGAGAGCTTTGTAATTATCTAGTGAAACTCAACGTACTTGTGCATGTTTCGCATCGTTATTGTTTAGTTCACTTCTGATGTACTTTTTTGGGTTTCTTAAATATTTTTCCACATGCATGATTTACTGTTTTTGAGCAGTAGTCTCATCAGAATACAATTCTTATTAAAATCAGTTGATGTTCAGAGCGAATAATCTGAAATAGGCTTAAGGTTAGGAGAACCTGATTCATGTATAATGAGTTCTCATTGTTTGTTACTATGATCACTCTGGAGTTCTTATTGCTGATTGTTTTTATATCTAGATGTTTTAAATTAGTTTCTTGTTGCACGACGAGCCGGCTTTGTATTATTTCAGATGCACACATTTGTTTACAACCATGGACTCATTCTCTGTATTAGAGTGCCTTGTTTCACTATGGCACGGTCCAGTTTGGCGATTTTTGTTCAAGACAGCTGGACTGAGTCTGTTTTTCTCATTATGCAGTACATCCCTGGAACCAAGATGGTCTTCCCTGGGTTGAAGAAGCCACAGGAGCGTGCTGATCTTATTTCCTACCTGAAGGAAGCAACCTCTTAAAAGGAGTGGAGCTGTCGTAACATGAGACAATCGGACAATTCATTCTACAGTTAAATAAAAATATTTAGACATCTGGGTCGCTCTGGTTTTACAGGGTGCAATCCACGAGACAATTATCTTGTTATATTTTGTTCTTATGGTTTATGGGTTCCATATCTTAGGTTTAGCAGGAAAAGTCTTTCACAGCTTTTGCTTTAACTGCTGGAAAACACCAGTATTTTGATCACCAGTCGGTGAGACTGGATTGCATCCCTTTTGGAAAAATACTGAGATCCTTAAATTTGTGATATTTTGATCCATTGCATTTGCTACGGTTAGTTCTCTGCCTGTGATGTTTTCTTTTGTTTGTGATGTTTGGCCACGTAATTGTTCTTTGGTATCTCACGCATGGATGGACAGTTCGGCTGTCAATTTATGTTTTGATGGATGATCTGTATATTGATCAAGGATCGGTGTTCTTGACTTGAACGAACTGAATGGTTGATGTCTTTGGCACGTATTGGTGATGATTTACTCGGCTGTTTGATTGGTGCGATGATGAATTTGGGATGCCACGTGTGTATTGGTTATCAATTGTTCGCTTCGATGCCGTTGAATTTGCAACGGCGCACGTGTATTTGTTACTAGTCTATTTGAGCGGGTATTTGTTACTACTCGTCTATTTGAGCGGGAATGTAGGCATGGTTACTCGATGATTTTGATTGGGATTTTGGTCATGCGTTGAGTTGGCATGTAGCCATAGTTACTCGATGATTTTGATTTGGAATTCGGTCGTAGTTACTCGTCTGCTTGATTGGGGGAATATATGACTCGACACGAGATGATTAGAGATTGGCGCGTTGCAATACATGACGAATTGCTAGTGCCACGTTTTGAGTCGCGGTATTGTTTCTGTCCAGACGAGCTAATGGACATGACGAATTGGAGGTCGCACCGTTTGTTGATGTGCTCCGTTATAAATGATTCAAAAATCTTCTGCCGTATAACAATCTCAGTGGTCGTGCCGGAGTGGTTATCGGGCATGACTAGAAATCATGTGGGCTTTGCCCGCGCAGGTTCGAATCCTGCCGACCACGCTCAGTTTTTTATGTTTTTGCTTTCCGTGGTTTTGAGAATAACTCATTTATGTGTCCATTTGCTTTCCTTCCATTTGTGTTTCAGCGGTTTGCGGTTTGAGAGAAACTCATTTGTGTGTTTGCTTTCATTTCATTTGCAGTTTGATAATAACTCATTTGTGTGTGTTCTTTTGCTTTCCTTCAATTTGTGTTTCAGCAGTTTGAGAATAATTCAGTTTGTGTTCTAGTGGTTTGAGAAGAATTCATTTGTGTCTCAGTGATCTGAGCAGAATTGTCGATGTCCATCTGTGTTTTCATTCCGTTGCATGTCCATCTGTGTTTACATTCCGTTGCGCTGCCACACATGATCTAGTGAACAGGAATTTGAGAAGGATGTGATGCAGGAGTACCATAGTCCCACTCAAGTTTGGAGGAATGATTTGAGATTTCAGGGCAAAATTAAGGTACCCACTCAAGTTATTTATGTAGCTGAAGCTATGGTCAACACCTATGCAGGATGTAATTAGCATGAAGTGGTCCAGGATGCTCAACAAGAGGATGATTGAAATGGAAGAATGCCAACGATTCCCTTAGGAAATAGCTTTTGTGTTGATGCTTATTGGGTTAAAGGAAATGCAGGAATTGGAATATTTTTTCACATGTCAAACTCACATAATGCTTTGGAGTACTCTCTCCATTTCAAAATATATGACGCTATTGACTTTTCGTCTAAAGTGTGATCATTCGTCTTTTTTTTAAAAAAATATAAATATTATTTATTTTGTGGTGACTTGTTTTATCATCAAATAAAATATAATCTTAATTTATAACTTTATATATTTATACTAATATTTTCAATAAGATGAATGATTGAGCATAGTGAAAAATTCGACGACATCATACATTTTGAAAAAAAAAGGTAGTATTATATTTCTTAGGGCATCCATAATGTTAGGAAAAAGCAGGTATTATGTACTATAGTATTCCAATGACCTACTCCCTCCATCCCATAATAGGTGACGTTTTTGACTTTTTATTTGCAACGTTTGACCATTCGTTTTATTTGAAAAATTAGTGCAAATATAAAAAAAGATAAGTCATATGTAAAGTACTTTTGATAATAAAGCAAATGACAAACAAAATAAATAATAATTCTAAATTTTTTTGAATAAGACGAATGATCAAACATTGACAAACAAAAACTCAAAAAGACAAGTAATATAGGACGGAGGTAGTAGTTATAAGCATTGTGGAAGTGGGTAGTAACAAATGCTAGATAGTAAGCTTAGGGCATCACCAATGTATATGGCAAGAGTGATCCATATAGATGGGACCCACATAAAGAGACTTTAGCTATAACAATATCCATAATGTATATAGATACAAGATAGCATTATGAGATGAGAGAGAAATAGAGATATATAGTATTATTTATTCCATATGGGTAGTCCATATGTCTATGGATACCTTTTGTTATTTTCTCCATATGGACTAGTTGCACAATGGTAATAGGTAGCTGAGTGAAATATAATATTACATATGGACTACTTTTGCTTCACATTGTGGATGCCCTTATGACCTAGTCATAAGAATAAAAAAACATTAAAGTCTCTCACTCTCTCCTTCCAACACAAGCAAAAAGCAACTAAAAAACAATATTCTTTTCCTCATGGAATTCTCTTTACAAAGGCCCTACTAGCTTAGCCTTGCTACTTATTACCTAGTTAGGCAATATACATTGCTGTTGCCCTTAAAGCCACTACTACTATGGCTGATTCTCCTGTGCAGGCTGAGCTTGTAGCATTGCAATTGACAATCGAGGTCGCAAATTTTTTGAATATTGCAAGTACCACCTTTCTAACGGACAACATAACAATTGTGGACATCATAAAGAAGAGAAGTTTTCTACGAGACCCTGGATATTGGAGTCTTAGACCACTGCTGAGCCAAATGCAACGAGTGATCTTCCGCACGACTTAATGCATAGTATCATTTGCATTCCAAGAGAAGTGAATCGATTAGCTGATAAGTGATAAGTTAGCTAATGATGTGAGAATGCAACATTTAGGCTGTCCAATTTATAACTGTCAAAACATCTCGCATCCTGCCTACTCCAGCAATTACCTTTTTTGTGCAAATGCTTTAAAGAACCAGTTCAGTGCAACCAATTGCACCATAAGGAATGCACTCAGTTTTAGTATGGAAATAAATTTTATGAGTTATATATAAAAAAAAGAAGAGAAACACACACAAGACAAGCTTGTGACAAAAGGTGTTGATAGCTATAGCACAAATTCTTACAGTTGGGGGCTTCCCCTGCTACGTTCTTTTAAAAGAAAAAGGAGCAGCTATAGCACAAATTCTTAATCTCATGATTGATTACATTCTTTACTCTCGGTACCGCGCGCTCCGATTCCCAATCACCAGCAAACACATACTCCCCGTCCCATAAAAAAACCAATATATTACTGATGTGACACATTACATACTCCCTTCATTCAAAAAATAATAATTCTTAGCATCTCTAGGTAGAATTAGTGGAGAGTGAGAATGACTATAATACCTTAATCATTAAAAAAATAATAAGAGTGATAGGTAGACAGAGGGTATTGAAGGAATAAACTTCTCGTTCTACGTGTTGAGGGTAGTTATGATGCAGAAGTTGGTTTTTTATGGGACAAAATTCAAACTCTAGAAGTTAAGTTTTTTTTTGAACGGAGGGAGAACCTCTGTCCAGATTCCCTCTGTCCTATATTCATTTTTTCAGGGACGGAGGGAGTACTCCCTCCATTCTAAAATATAGTAACCTAGAGTAGGATAAGAAGTATACTAATACTAATTTAGACATATATCTTATTTATATTCATATTAATAGAATACGTCCCATCCATTTCAAGTTACTACTCCATCTGTTTTAGGTTATAAGACGTTTTGACTTTTATAATGTGAAGCTTAGTGAGTACTGTATTCTGAGACGGATGGAGTATTAGTTAACTTTGGTCCTGTTTAGATTCCAACTCTTTTCTTCAAATTCTCTACTTTTCCGTCACATCGAATTTTTCTACGCACAAACTTCCAACTTCTCCATCACATCATTCTAATTTCTTCAAACTTCTAATTTTAGCGTGGAGCTAAACACAGCCTCGAAGGAGGAAGTGTTTGAAGGCTTGCTCGGCTAGCAGTCCGCTACACCCCTCATCGGGGAATCTCCGCCCGCGGGCCCCACAATTCCACACCGATTGACACCCACAGTCCCACACCACCTTTGCTGCACCCACCTCACTCACACACTTCACAGGGGAAGGCCAAGTGACAGTAGTAGTACGCAGCCAAACCCCCCAAACCCCTCGGAAATCCCCCCCGCTCTCTCAAACTCGCTCTCTCTGTCTCCCCCTTCTCCCTCACCAAATCCCCTCCTCCTCCTCCGCCGCAGCATTGCGGCGTACGGATCGGCCGGCCTCATCGGCCGCTGCGGCGCGCGCCGGCCGTCTCGGTCGCGAGGCGGGTGGGGCGGCGGCATGGGGAAGCGCAGGGGGAGGCGGAGGAGGTGCTCCGGGAAGCGCCGCGGCGGCGATGCGGATGGAGGCGGGGGCGGGAAGCGGCGGCGGGAGGGGGAGAGTGAGGAGGACTACTGCTTCGCCTGCAAGGACGGCGGCCTCCTCCGCTTCTGCGACCACAGGTTCCCCTGTCCTGTCCGTTCCCCCCTTCCCGCCTTTCCGCTTCCTCCATGACGCGGCATGCAGGTGTTTGGTTGGTTGGTTTGTCGCGGCGATGAGCTCGCGGGGTCGTGGCTAGCCGGAGTTTCGTAGGAGCGGAGAGTACTCGTGCTTGATCTGTTGAGATAAGACTTGAGGAGAAAACCAACCTTGCTCGCTTTAGCTTTAGCACTTGTTGGTAGCACTGAACTACTGAAGCTGTGGCGCAAGCGGCCGCCAGAGAGAGAGAGAGGGTTTAAGCGAGGTTTTTGGGTAGACAGGATTTCTCCCTGCGGCATTGTCGCCTTTGGCCCCATGTATCACTGTCAATCAGTTGTGCATGCTAGCTAGTAGTGTGTGCATTAATGGGTCAGCCATTGCTGTAGCTGCAGGCACCAGTACCGGTACCGCATAGCAGTGACAGCACCAGGGGTGTCTAGTTAACTTGCCCTGTTGCATGCTTCACCGTGTTGGTACGTGGTAGTTGCAAGCTACATTTCGTCTAGTTGAGTGCATTATGCCACAATGTCATGAGTAGTAAAGAGTTACCTCATGGGGGTTGTTGTGTTGTATTGGGCGCTTATTTGATTGACATATGGGTTATTGACTTATCAACCCACAAATATTCGTATGGTAGGCAGATGGATCGAACTATCGCAATCTTATTGGGATACATGTTTGGGTTTTCGGAAAATTTTATTGGCTATGCGTTTACGTCTTCTATCATCTTCCAGGAACTGCCACAAGGCTTACCATCCTGAGTGCGTGGATAAGGATGACAGCTTCCTCAATTCAGACGAACAATTCATTTGCAGTGAGTGTTTTAGCCATTCTTTCTTTAGTATTGCTATGACCTGACTGTTGCAAAAATGTTTTTGGTTATGCGCATGAACGAACTTGATTAATTAATGACATTTGAAAAAATATGATGTTTTGAATAAAAAATCCCATTTAGTGATTGTTATTTTTACCTGTTGTGACACCCTATGACATAGCAATGCGCCAACATGCCAGGGTTTCCGTTACCGCTGGTAACTGAGCTTACCACGGGGGTACGGTAATGGTTACCGGTGGTAGGGTTTGGGAAATTTTGACCAAACTTCAAAATTTTCCAAAAAAAAAAAAATCATGGATGTAGTTCTTGATTTTTAGTGGCAGATGGTGAAGAATTTTTTTGAAAAAGAGTAAGATAAAATCAAATTTAAGGGCAAAACCGATAATTGTTTAGAGAATGGAAAAAAGAAAAAAGTATTGGGTCTTAAGTTGCACTGTGCAACCGGCCCATTAAGGCCCAATAGAGGAGAAAATATCTTCATAATATAGAGAAGGTCATAATGAATTTTTGTATTTTACATCCAAAAGTTAGGTTTGCAAGTATCCTATATATTCTTCTAATTATCCCTAATTTCTACATTTAAGTGGTTTTTCAATTTTTTTTAGCATTGTTCTGTTCAGCTATACAACTCATGGTAACCGCGCAAATATCGCGGTCACCGCGTCAAACCATGCGGTAACCGCGAAACCGCCAAAGTTTTGAATTCAAATGTTTGTCGATGAAATTCATACGGTTTTCGGCAGTTACCGTGGTAACCGCCTTACCACGTGGGTGCGAGAACCCCCCTCCAAACGGTAAGGGAAACCCTGAACATGACCCATGATTAGCAAAATTCTGTAGTGTCAGCCAGCTAACTAGCTGGGGAAAGACATAAGATGAGCACAGGATGGTAACAAGGGCTTAAAGAAGTATTCTGTACAAGATGCTATAATATGTCCAAAGTTCAGGCTTGAACTTGACGCATGTCACCAAGACAGCCTACCTCAATGAGAAGTTAACATGTTCACTCATGGTTTTTCTAGATTACATTTTATGTTCAAATTGTTTTTAGTTCCACAGTGGACTACAAATTTCTTTAAAACTGACCTAAGTACTGAACATGCATGACAGATTGGCATACATGTTTTATCTGCAAAGGGCGTTCATACTACCGATGCTTTTGTTGTCCGGATCACTCTGTTTGTCGTAGTTGTGTGAAACAAGCAGAATTTGTCCCAGTCATGAGGCAAACAATGGGATTTTGCAACAACTGTTTGAGGATGGCAATCATGATTGAGAAGAACGTCGATGTTGACTCTGATGGGGTAACAATGCACATCCTTATAAACATTTCAAATTGCCTTATGTTAGTGCCATAAACCATTTTGTTTTATCTAATTTGTTTGTTTCCATAATATTTAGATCTTTGGTAAGTGTACTGCAAATAGTTGTACCTCACAGCTGTAAACAGTTCCTTCAATGTTGTTTAGTAGGTGTGTTTTTAATGGTGTAGTCGCTTGTGTAATATTTAGTTGCATATTACTCCCTCTGTCCCAGATAGCTGGTCATTCTACCATTCGAGAAATGTCCCATAAAATTTGTCGCTTTAGCATTTTGACCAGAGAACCGGGGCATCGAGTCATTCTGGTCCACTTGAATCTGTCTAATGATTACTATCTGTGTAATACTGCTGCTACTAGTACCATGTGACAAATAGGAGTACTAGCATTCATTAATTAATTACATGCAGTAAATATTTCTTGCAACCTGAAATGACAACTGCAGCTAATAAATGGGGATAATTTGGTGATTTTTACTTAGAGTTAATTTGTTTGATAATCCTTAAAACGGCCAGCTTTCTGGGACAGAGTGAGTATAGTTTATGTCTATGCTTTTGTAGGAATCCATTCTAAGGTTCTTAACTTTGAGTTAATGCTACATGTGGCAAATAGATCTATGCCATTCAACCTCTACTATTTTGCTTATTTGCTTTCTTGCTCTCTCTCTCTTATTTGCTTTCTTGCTTTATATAGACACACACACACACTGAAATTCATATGTTTCTCCTTTGTCTAGGAGAGGGTTGATTTCAGTGACAGGGAGACATATGAATTTTTGTTCAAGGATTACTGGGACATAATTAGAGAAAAAGAAGGGTTGACATTGGATAATATGCGAGAAGCCTATACTCTTCTCAGAAGTGGCTTAAACTGTAATGAACTATCAGATATGGAGAAACTTCCAAATAGTGAGCAGAGTTCAGATGATGATTTCTTGGGCAATAGTGATGACGACGATGAGCCAGTTTATCCATCTGTTTCAAATGGAACATCAAATAAAGTGAAAACCATACTGAAGGAAGGAAAAACAAAGAAACAGGTTTATGTGGGATGGGGTTCAATAGAACTTATTGGATTCATGTCATCAATAGGCAAAGATACATCAAAACCTCTAGATCAATTTGGTGCTGCTGAAGTTGTGAAGCAGTACATTCGGCAAAACGATCTTTTGCAGAAAGATAAGAAAAAACAGGTCATTTGTGATGGCAAGCTTTGGTCTCTGTTTAGGAAATCAAAACTGAAATATAACAAGATATATAGCTTGTTGGAAAAGCATATTGCTGAAAATATCACACCCGAGGATGAATCACTTGATAGTTCCGAGGACAATACTGATTCAATTATGGAAAGGAAAAGTCGGATCATGAACTCTGAATTGAGTACTCCAGAAGAGGTGTCTGAAAGATACAGGAGATGCTTTGCTTCTCTTGTCCGTGAAAACATTAAATTAATCTATTTGAGGAGAACTTTAGTTATTGATCTGCTAAAGCAACCGGATACGTTTGAATGTAAAGTTATTGGCTGTTTTGTTAGAGTAAAGAATGACCCCAGAGAGTATAGTCGCCACAAGCCTCAAAAACTATACCAGCTTGGACAGGTGACAGGTAATGTTCATCTCTTAGCATTACCCACTGCTATTCCCCGATGATCCGTAGAGTAGTGAACCAGTTTGTCTTGTATGTTGTTTATTTTCGCCTCTAAATGTCCTATTCCTTTCGTGTGCTAGATAGAGAAAAGATATAATGTATTCTACATCTGAACCTGAGGCACATATAATCTAACATGTAGTTTTCAGTGACAAATCATTTATTTATTATCTGCTAACAAAAGCATACGTAACAGGCATTAGGAAATCCTCGGAAGAATACAAGATAAGGGACATATCTACAGATATCCTTTTATGTATTTCCGACATGTGGTCTGATGTCAAAATTTCAGTGTTGTCAGATGAAGACTTTGAGGAGGTACAGTTTATTGTGCATTCCCTTGTTCCAACAACACTGCTTATGAATAGTTTTTTGAACTGCATTGTCACGCCCGGAAATTCACTAGTAATTTCCGAACTTATTTGTGCATAAAATCCTCGTCCAGGAATCAGCCGAGGTACACAAACTGACAATTTAATATACAGATTCATCAATAACTAAAGCGAATAAATACTTACTTAAGAGGCACTTAGTCCTCAACATGAAGAAAACTGCAGCGGAAAATAAAATCTAGCGAAGCTCCGGCTCCACTCCCACAGGCAGCTCAACTGGGGTATAAGCCAAACGTCTTCTCCTTCTGGATCCTTTTTCTTCAACTGAGGTTGATTGATTATTGCAAGGTGAGCATATGACATACTCAGCAAGCCACACAGCAAATATGCAAGTGCACAAGGATACCAAAGGATGGCATAATATAGGCTCATTTGCAAAAGCAGCATTTAGCAAAACATTTAAGAGAAGTAAAACAGTGGAGTAATTAATCAGAAATTTTAATCAACACTGAACAGCACACCCATGCTGCACAGGCCCAACCATTCTGAACAACCATACCCGGCTGAACAGATCTAACTCCAAACCAGGAGCTAAGCAAATTATTACCAGGTATAACATCTATAAATATTGTGAGAGGTGTGAGACTAATCACGAAAAACATTGCTCAACCCGCCCATAACCGCGGGCACGGCTATTCGAATAGTTTTACTCTGGCCAGAGGTGTACCACTGTACCCACAAGACACAGCCTCAACATCATGTTTACCATGCGTCGCGATACTGGAAAGTACCCGAATAGAGGCTGTGACAATACCCTCTGCATAACACAACTCACCACAGTGCACCATTCCTGGATCATAATCACCCCCTTATAAAACAAGGCACGGACTCCCCAGCGACCCCCGTGGGCTTATCTCCGCCACTTCTCAGTCTGGTGCTCCGCAATGATTCATGCTATACAAAAGGTAAAGCCGTTGCCCACGCTGGCTTGTGGTTGGCACGGTTAATGTTTCACAATAGTAGCTCGCGAACCGGTCCTTAATTGTCATGAGCACGACTCTCAAAACCATGTGCTCACAACCCACCATTATCAAGTTTTAGTTGGCAAGTAATTAATTAGCCAATCACGATTAACCATCGTGAACTATCATTAAACCATCATTAAATAATAATGAATCATAAGTTATCCCAATAGTGTGCTAATGTTTCTAAGCATGGCTAAGCAATCACATCTAATATCTAGCTGAACCAATATATAAAGCTCAACTAGTCAAATTATAATAACCCAAGGTATCAAGGATTAAAGTAATCAATGCAAACAGGCCATAACAAAGGAATAGATTCACACCACCCAGTGACATTTGAAAATAAATGCACAGTTGAAATAAATAGAGAATTTAAATATAGGATCAACATGCTCAAAGGATTGTGTTTAGGATCTGTGTGACTTGCCTTGCAATAATCGGTCTTCAATTAATCTTCTTGAATACTTCCAGCGCACTCGCGAACCTTCGCAACGACGGAAACGACAAGCTAACACGCAAAACGAAGAAAAAGACTAATAAAAACCAAATAAACAATACATAAAAAGTAAACAAACATGTAGATCATAATTTTAGATGAATTATGAGACTTGAACGGCCTCATTCTGACTTCAAATGAATTTATTATGAATTTTACAAGATTAAATCTAATTAAAGCCCATTTAAAAAGAATTAAATAAATTTAATTCAATTTATGGACAATTTTAATATGTAGATCTTTATTTTATACAACTTTTGCAACTTGAACCACATTAAACTGAGTTACAACGAATTAGTTATGAATTTTTAAAGATTAAATCGGATTAAAACACTTATATGGATTTTAATTGAATTATGACGCAATAATGAATTATTTTTGAAAAGGAAAAGGAGGATTATTGCGTCAGCGGCTAGGGTTTGCGGTGGACCGGGTGCACGGCAACGGTTCACGGGAACGGACGGCCGAGATCAACCCTATCCAAAACGGACGGCCGAGATCGAACGGTCCTCGACCGGCTCACGGGGACGATGACGTCGGCGATGACGTCACCACCGGCGGCGACTCGGGCGCGCATGCTCGCCGGCGAACGGCGGCGCTTCGGCACGAACGGAGGGCACCAACGGGTAGCGGACGGCACGGCGAACTCACCGGTGACCAAAGGAGCGGCGGAAGATCAACGGACGGCGACGGCGACGAGGAAGAAGCGGCGGCGGAGATCGGGTCGACGGCGGCGACGGTGCTCCGGCGGTCTTCGGCGGCGACGAAGAGGCGGACGAGGACGGCGGCGACTTGGCGACCACGACGGCGGTCTTCCCGAGCGACGGCGATGACCGGAACGGCGGCGGCGCACGGCTGGAGCGACGGCGGCGACGGCGGCTCGAGGCTACTCGGCGCTAGGGCGCTACGGACGACGAGAGGCGAAGGCGAGGGAGGCGACGGGTAGAGGAGAGCTCGGGGGTCCTTTTAAAGGGGCAAGGAGGCGGCGGCGAAGGCCCACGGCGACCGGCGACGAGATGGAAACTTCGGGGTTCGGAGGAAAGAGGCCGATCCGAATCGAACTCGATTCCACGAACTTCCAAAACGAATTAGCCGATGCTTCCAAAAGAGAAAAGGTAGAGGAGATCCCGAAGATCATTTCCCCTCTATCAATTCGGCCGGAGAAGGAAAGGATCGACCGAATTTTGGAAGGAGACGGCGGCGGCTCGGGCTAGGGTTTCGGGCGGCGGCGGCGGCGCGAGGAAGACGGATCCGACAGGCGGGCCCCACCTGTCAGCGGCTGAGAGAGAGGAGGAAGGAGCGCGGCGGACTGGGCCGACTGGGCTGACTGGGCCGGGGAGAGAGAGAGGAAGAGAGGGGTTTTGGGCCGGCTTTCGGCCCAAAGCCAAAAGAGACTTTTAAAAACCTTTTTCAATTTAAATTATTTCTTAAATGCAATTCCATTTATTAAAAATACTTCCTTAGCTCAAATAAATCCCAGAAAAATCTAGGAATTATAGAATTAAGCAAAGTATTTAACAAAATTTTATCTAGCCCAATTTTATATTGAGATTTAACAAATTAAAATTAGATCTTCTCTTTTAGGCTTTTAAAATCATTTCTAATAATTCCTTTTAAACAACAATTTATAATTTAAGGATTTTAAACAAGAAAAGCTCTTAACAATTATAATTAGATCATTATTGATCAAATAATTACTGAACTGTTCTTTGTATCATTTAGGAATTGAGCTCCGAAAAATCCGAGAAAATTTCAGAGAGTTGACTTAATCATGGAGAATTTAATAAAAATTAAATCCATCCATGCTTTATATTTAGGAAATTTTATTTCCCACATTTAACTTCACTTGTAAATTAAAGAACATTTAATATAAATTCTATTAATAATTTATTAAATAATTTATAAATCCTGAAACGAAAATCAGGATGTGACATGCATTTACTGTGCAAGTTATTTTCCTTTTGCAATACCATGTGATTTCCTCCCTCTATAACTTACTAGTATTTTGTCCTGAATGCTTGTTGATGTACAAACCATCTTTTGTTGATAACAGGAAGAATGTGAAGATCTTCGTTCATTGTCCCGGAAAGAACCTTCTAAAAGGCAAACTGTTGTAAGTTAAATCTTCTTTGAAATTTTATTTCCCCAGAACACAAGTATCTTATCAGATGTAATAGGCTGCTGAAATTCTTGTTTCGGCAGCATGCATACTTTAGGGATAGCACCAAAAAAAAAAAATGTTCGGTTCTTGGTTGTGTTGGACATGGTTGGGCTAAAAGCAAGAATTCCTTATACAAGATGGCTGATGATGTGGCTAATAGGAAATGTGAACAGTTCGCGTATGGAATGGTAGCAAAGAAGATTGAAAATTTGAGTAGCCTCTTATCATGGCGATTAATGCAAAATTTGTCCAGAGTTATAGTGCACTAACCTAGGTTCTCATGAAAGCTTCCTTTGTTGCTTGGCTGGGGCAAAAGGGCTTGCAATCTCGCTGTCCTGGTTGGCTGGTCTGGGCTCTTAAGCCTTGGCAGTTTGGTCGTTCATGAGTTGTGCATGACACATTTGTAAATAAGTTTAGTGTTTGTGAATTTGTTTTGGTCAGAACTTCCGTCTTGACCTTTTGTATTTTATTTTCTCCTTCATGACAGACTGCTATCCTGTGTTGTTCGATAAGAAAAACCTAGGTTTTATTTTGACTAAGATAGTCTAGTGCTATATAGCTATTATCTGAACAGATCCATAGTGTGAAACTTTAAAGGAACATATATCCATTAGTATAGGGACTGTTTTTAAATTTCAAATCATCAAATGGTTGCAAGTTCACAAATACAGGATCTTGCATTTCGTACAAATAGAAGATATTTAGTGCCACCCTAGTCATTATAAACAAGGAGTATTTTGGCCTCGCATGTTTGTTTGTTGGCTTATCAACCGCAGCCAAAATTTGAATTTTGGAACTTAATTTTAGAGTTGATTTTGCAATTTTTTTTCATTGTATCCTAATTTCCATCATTGGCTCATGAACTACTTGCTCATGAACTACTAAGAAAAGCAGTTTGACTTATAAAAGTTCTACTCAAGTTTTTTTGGTTGCTTCGGTTATTTTTCTAAGGAAATAAGCACCAAACTCTAACTAGCCTTTACGCCCACTGAAATTCATCTTTTTGATCACCAAATGGGTAATACTTTACCATGTGTATCTGGCATCTTGGCCTCTGCCTTATGGCTGGTTATATATTCAGAGATTAATCACATTGGAAGCAACCGCAGTGTTTCATTCACCATTTGCAACTTGCATGTTTGGGACATTATATAATGTTTTATTATGTGCTATTTTCCCGGTGCTATTCTATATTTCCCTTCATTTGGGAAGTTCTTAGGATGTTTGTATGAATTCTTCTTATACTTGAACAATACATCATACATGTATAACTATGCCTAAGCTTCTTTCAGAGCTCTGAACTAGATGTATTTATACAGGCTGAGTTTGAGGAGAAAGCGAGAAGTATGCATGCAGACATAATGAGTCATGTAAGTTCACTAGGAAGCCTGATGAACTTTTATGCGTCATGCAGTACATTCTGAAATTGTTTATAGATTTTAGACCAAATTTTCTTGTTTCCTAATCACTATTCTCTATCTGAATTCCCATTGTTATGTTCTTGTATTAAAAAAAATATAGCCAATACTTTGGTGACATGTTTAAAACTATAGATTTTCGCAGTGTAAGTTCATCTGTTGATAGTATTAGAAGTGACAACCAACTTATTGTTTGTTATTCTTGCAGTGGATCAACAAGGAACTTCAGAGACTGGAAAAATTGATTGAAATGGCAAATGAGAAAGGTTGGCGTGCTGAATATCCTTACCAGATTGAGTTCTTGTGATCATGTTGATATTCACCAACGAGTATATCTTGTTTTCATATTCTAACTCTGCAGCAATTATAAGATTAGTGAACTTTGTACAGTACAGTTATATCCTTGACTGTATATCACGATGCACGAATACATTGACAAAAGAAAGCTACTACGAACACCATCAGAAAGGCAACGTCTTCTTGAAGAAGTCCCGCGAATTATTCCAGATGTAGAGGATAGTAAGGACTCTGGATTTCTAGTTATGGCAGCAAACAAATCTTCTCAAAGGAATACAGGTTTGTTTTTAGGACTCCTAGAATTGTTTCGTGTTCTTCTGCTTTACTACTCAATTCCATATTGTGCCATGAAACCAATGGAAAGTAGGAAGCAATGGGTATAGAGACTTGACAATCACTTAGCCTGATTAGTTTCCATTCTGGGATATTTTTCTTTTGTTACCATTGAACTTTTAAATATTAAAATTAAGGAATGTAACACTTATTGCTGATGAAGAGTTGAATTTTGGATTGCTAATCATTTTCTTTCATGATCTGCTGCTTGTTTCAATGCTTTCCTTCAGGAAGTTCTTAGTAATTTCTTCTGTACAGCAGGTATACCCTGTGATTTTTCTGTAGGTACCAACAGCAACAAGGATAGAGTTGATTGCTTGAAAAGTTGTTCAGGAGAAAAACTTAAAGGTTGGCTTATATAGTGTACATTCATTTGTTTTTTAACATGATGTAAACACTGCTTTTTTGCATAGGGAACAAAAGGGACATACCTTTGTGTTCGGAAAGTTTCTCAGAAGAAAAACATGAAGGTTTTCTCATAAGTATTTACTTCTTGAATGGCTCCCACTATATTCTATCCATCTCTAAAATTTGATGGCAGTGGTGCTTGAAGGATAAGTATAGAACTTCTACCCTCTGAACTACTCCCTCCATCCCAAAAAAACTCAACCTAGGAGGGGATGTGACCCCTCCTAGGACAATGAATCTGGACGGGGTCACATCCTCTCCTAGGTTGAGTTTTTTTGGGACGGAGGGAGTATGCTCTAACTTTAAAATCGATGGCAGTGGAACTTCACTATGAAATAGCTCCCACTATGTTCTATATGCATGTCTAGATTGCATCATTAAGGCCCTAGAATATGTGTTCGCTTAGCAAGTTAGAAGTCTCTATCCTCTGGTGTGGGCTAATAAGTGAGCAAACCATTGACTGTTGTTACATGGCATAACCTCAAGTTTTAATGCTGGTAGTATTTGAAACTGGAGTAAATAGCATTTGCCTACTGAAATCTGGCACTATATCTTGTAAGAAAAATCCTTTGGTTGGCCACTTTCCATGTTTTTATTGTTCTTATTAAATGTGCAGGTAGCAAAGGCGATGCTGATGCACCTGGAACGTGTTTAGAAAAGGTCATCACTAAAGGTTTGCTCTTACTGCCCGTCCTTCCACTAGTTGTTCCACCAGGCACTAGCTGTTCCTGAAGTTTCCATTGCAATTTATTCCCTTTGACATATTCAACATTCTGGGCAACCTGGCTGTTTTTGGTTATTCGTGCTTAATGATGCAGCTATTGAAGTCAATCCTCCTGGTGATATGCCAAGATCACATGTTCAAAACCATGGCACTAAAGGTTTGCACTTACATTTTCACCAGTAATGCTATTCCATCTGGTTCCAAAAGTAGGTCGTGTTGGCTTTATCTGCTTTCTTAAATTTAAACTATTCTAAGATTTCAGGGTGCTTTTAGCTTATTTCATCTTGTTTTACCCTTTATTAAACCTGTCAGGCATAGCTTAACAGTATTTCTTCTTTTTTTTAACAAAAATGGTTTTTCATTTGCTCAGTTTTTTTATTCTACATGTTTAACCACTGTAATGAAACCAGATGATTGCACAGTGCTAATACATGAAAAAATGTCACCTTTGCTCCTATGTTTTCTGGTGCTGATGGGATGGGATCTTATTTTGGCATGCTATCCTTGGTCTTTTATGTCTCTTTTTCGTTTTTTGGTTTCTCCAAGTTTTTCTACTTGTTCATACTATTATTGTAGCTACTGCAGCTGTCAACCCAGGTCAAGTTATTGACATTGATGACGGTGAAGATGATCTGCATGGTAAAAGTGGAGACATGACTGTTGATCTGGATTCTGATGGAAGTGAGGACCATGGTACGAGACAACATGAAGCTAAGCCTAAATTATGCAGTGGTCAGAAAGCTGTCGAAGCGAAGGAAGAAATCTCAGAGCACGCAAGTGTCTGGTATTACAATGATCCTCAAGGTGACGAACAGGGGCCATTTCCGCTGCGGATTCTGCGTCACTGGTCGAAAGCTGGATACTTCAAGGAAGATTTTAGAGTCTGGAGAACAGGCCAATCTTGTGACTCTGCCATCTTGCTCAAAGATGCTTTGCTGCTGACAAGTTAGCACTAATCAGGAGCCTCACTGTTTAACCAACTATATGTCTACTAGATGTATCTACATATATGGCAGAATGCAGGAGGGCCTCAATTCTTGTGACATATTGCCCCTCTGTAGTATTGTGGGGGAGGCCAGTCAGGCGGTGTATGTATATATTTGTCTGACACTAGAATGCCTTAGCCAATTTTTGGATCCCAGGCACCGTGCCTTTTGGCCTTCGGATGTATTCTGTGCCCATCAGCTACCTGTGTTTATGCTACAACAAGCAAAGTACTTGGGATATTTGCAAGTTGTAACAGGTCTTATATTTGTATGTGTTTATGCACTCCTTTTTGTTCTTTTAGAAAAGATAGCTGCCTTGGAATATGATTTGGGTGCAGTGTTATGATGCTGCTGTTAAAAGTGACCTTTAGCATCATGTTACCTGACGTCTGAATTCACTTTCTTGTGGTCACTGACAATGATTCTTTTGGTCTCTAACTTCAACTCGCGGTTGATTCAAGTGTAGTTTTGTTTGGTTAGGTCACTAACTTTTAAGTTGGTTTTCTTTTCATTTGCACTACATCAGGCATATGATTGTAGAATAAACCGTTGGAAATCGTAGGCACCGGCAGTCTGATTAGTATCCTATTTTCTGAAGTAATATTGATTGTGTTCTGTCACCGTTGCGTCTGTAAGTAATTGCTGTACCGTGCACTCATAGCTATTCCGACTATCTTCTACAGGATTTGGGATACAATCACTCAACTGGACGATCCAAACCAATCACCAATTGACTTGAGAATCTTAAGATTTGTCAGTGATATTAAAAAAAAACAATAACAAAACCCAATTAGTTTGGCAAAATTTGTCACAGTGCATCCAAAAAACCTGTAATTGAGTTGAGAATCTTAAGATTTGTCAGTGATATTAAAAAAAAATAATAACAAAACCCAATTAGTTTGGCGAAATTTGTCACAGTGCATCGAAAAAACCTGTAATTAGTTTGTGGATACCGTAAAAACGCGAATTTGCTGTCGGGAAAAAAAATGTTAATTAGCTATCAGACACTCGTGTTTATTATTTTCATGGAAAACGGAGAGAGAAACTGAGGTGAGAGTACGCCCCTGTGCTGCTTCGCCGAAGCTGGTCGCCACAATTCATCGCCTTGGTGTGACGGTGAGCAGCGCCGCGGGTCGGAAGGCCTCGGTGGCGGAGCTCGTCGGCGAGGCGCAACATCTCCCTCTCTTTCTCCAGCTCCTCCTGTGCCCTCTCGGCCTCCCGCCTCATCTCCTCCACCTCCTCCTTGCCTCCCCTGTTGCCGTCCACGCCGCCGGTGAGGCCGCCCCTGACGAGCTCGTCGCACACCTTCTCCAGCCGCTCCCTCGACCTCCACTCCCTCTCCAGCTCCCTCTCCGCGTCGGCCAGTGCCTTCCCGAGCTTGGCGTTCACCCTCTCGGCGTGATGCCTCGACCTCCGCTCGCCGTCGAGCCCCGCACCGCCACGCGCACCGTCGCCGCAACCTTCTTCCTCTGCTGGCTCCTCCACTCCCGCGCCTCCTCGGCGAGCTGCGCCCTCATCTGCACCGTTTCGTCGCCACGCCGCCGGTCCTCCTTGGCGAGCTGCCGCGCGTGGGCGCGTGCCAGGTAGAGCATCGACGCCGTCGACAGGTTCAGGCCATCGCCGGGGCCCCAGATACCGAAGAGAGCCTTGACGAGCTCCTTGGACGCGGCCAGGCTGCTGTACATCTCCTTCAGGTGTGGCACCATTCTTTCTCCCCCTCTGCATGGTGAAGCGCAGTCTGCGTGCACCTGGACAAGACAGAGAGAGAATTTGGAAATCAAACATGTAATCCAAACGGCGGCGGCGGCAGGCGCTGCGCTCGCTAGCGAGCGGCGCGGCGAGAAAGCACAGGCAGGAAGAGGACAAGAAAAGAAAATAGAGGAGAGGCTGACATCCTTGCCCCACATAGGATAATCGGGTCTTTTTCGATTGTTTCTCTCTCCGTTTTCCCTAAAAATAATAAAATAAGGCCGCGAGTGTCATACAGCTAATTACCAGTTTTTTTTTGTGCCCGACAGCAAATTCATGTTTTTCTTGTGTCCACCAGCTAATTACAAGTTTTTTCGATGCCCTGTAGTAAATTTTGCCAATTAGTTTTATCAAATCTAGTAGAATATTATTGATAATATGTTTGTTGTGTTAGAGATGCTACTATGTTTTCCTATATAAACTTGATTCAACTTTAAAAAAACTTGAGTAAGAAAAAAAAAATCAAAACGTATGTGGTAAATAGGAAACGGAAGAAATATTTGTCGGAGGGTAACTATGGCACGTGACAAGAGAAGGGCAAACATGAACACCGGTTGCAATGCCTGCAACGTACGCATTGGATTTGTACATGGAGTTGGAGTCAGCTTATCGACAGTCACCAGCCTTACATTACATTGCAATCCAAGTCAGGTTCGATCGAACCTGAATCCCTTCACGACTCCTCACCAACAAAATCCCATAAAACCCTCTTCTACACCAACAAACAAAACTCCAAACGAATTAAGCATCGCGAACCAACGCCGCCATGGCCGCCGCCGCCGCCACGCCGCGCCACCATCACCGCCTCCTTCTGCTGCTGTTCATCCTCTTCCTCGCCGCCGGCGCCGCCGTGCCGGTCTCCGGCGCCTGGGACGCCAAGGGGAAGACGCTGTGCTCCGGCCGCCTCCTCGGCCTCACCGACTGCGGCGACGAGGAGCCGAGCGCGTACGAGATGCTGGAGAGGTTCGGGTTCCCGCGCGGCATCCTGCCGGAGGGGGTGACGGGGTACACGCTCCGGCCGTCGGACGGCGAGTTCGCGGTGTACCTCGGGACGGGGGAGTGCGAGTTCGAGGTCGACGGCGGGTACCGGCTCACCTACCAGGGGAGGATCACCGGCAGGGTGGCCGGCGGCAGCATCACCGGCCTCCGCGGCGTCACGGTGAGGGTCTTCATGATGAACTGGGGCATCGACCGCGTCGTCGTGGCCGACGCCGACCACCTCGTGTTCTACGTCGGCCCGCTCTCCCAGGCGTTCCCGGTGGACGGATTCGAGGAATCGCCGCAGTGCCGGTGCCGCCACGGCGGCGGCGCCGCCGTCTCCGGCGTCGCGGCGATGTAGGATCTGGGCCGTTCGTTGGGTGTACGTACGAGTGTAACGAGTGTTCCTGTGATCGACGAACGCGTTAGTTGGTGTTTTCGTGCGCGAAGTCGCGGATTATTTTGTTTAGGCGTCTAATCGGATTAAACAATCGAACGCGCCTTGTAAATTAATTAAATTAATTAATTGCCTCGCTTGATTCATTATTTCATTGTGTTATGTTTATTGACTAGAAAAAGTATCCGTACGTGGCAACGGAAAGAAAATTAAGGAAAATCTTGCTGACGGATCCCCTGGTGTGTTAGGTCTTGGATGCGACTCATATGTTCCGCTTGTTGTTGTGCTCTTTTTTTGAGGATTTGTGTTCTGCCACACTATAATTTTTGTTTAGGGATTTGTAAATTATTTCTAAAATCTATATTAAATTTTATTAATTTATAAGTGAAGTTTAATGTGATCCTAATTAAAACATGGCTATATTTAATCATTGTTAAATTCTCCATGATTAATTATACTCTCTAGAATTCTCCAATTATTAATTTTAAAATACAAATGACATTTCGTAATTATTTAAACAACTATTAATGACTAAATGATCTAGATAAATATTTTTTTAAATACTTTGAGTGTCCAACTATTTTCTTGATTTTTATTGGAATTATTTGAGCACTAAAAGTGTTTTTTAAAATTCCAAAATCATTTCTGTGATTAATATAAATGGAAAAGTAATTAAAATCCTCCCTCCTTGATGGACCAATTTCAGTGAAGTCTGATATGGATCCCTCTCTCTATAGCTGGCTTGCCTACTCTCCGGTAAAGTCTAATTTATATCCTCCACGTTTTGGCCAGTTTGCTTCCTTCCTTCTCTTCCGCCCAACAGCAGCAGCAAGTCTATACTACCTCCCTCACTCCCTCCTCTTTCTGTCGCCTGGGGCCCATGTGCACAGTGGCATCTTCTTCCTCCTGCTCAATACCGAAACCCCGTGCCCGTGCTAAGCCGGCGCTACCAATCCTTCCAATCCCGCCTCCCCTTTTCTTCCCTATCCAAATTGGTTGTAAAAATGGGTTCCCCTCAATCTCCTCTTTCCTTTTCACAACAAAGCCACATCAATTTTACGCTGAATCCCGCGAATTTCGGCTCAATTTATATCCCAGCAAACCCGGAATAGCCCTAATTTTTTTCCACGTCCGAGTCCAGTCGTTCCTGAGCTGGATTCCTCTATTGACGGACGAAAATCAGATGTGACGAAAGGAAAATTAGGAATCTTTTAAGTAGTTAACTAGCAAAAGTGTCCGTGCGTTGCACCAGGTGATCACGGAGTGTGTACAGTGATAAAAAGTGTTGTTTGGTTTAGTCAACTAATCTGCTAAAAAGAAATGTTTGTTTTTAGATAAATAATCTGCTCTATATTTGTGGAATATATATGATGTTTAGTTGGGATGATTTGTAGCATGGGAGAAAATGGATGAATGAACAATGCGATTTTCTTTGCCCAAAAGGCGATGGATGAAAATTTGTATCACAAATGGAAATATTTATTTTTTATGTAGGTAAGTCTAATAAAATATGAGTGGAATTTTTTTTACTACATGTACTTTGAGTTGCGAGAATATATACTTTTTTAGAAACACGAGCATTGAGATTGACGAAGTTACCGCAAACGCCTTGAGCACCCATCTTAAATCAAAGATTTGAATCTAGGTTGATTGGTTCCTTCACAAGAAACCTATCCAGTTAAATTATACCCACTTTGTAATTGTGGGAATATACCTGTGTATTGTTACCTGAATAAAATGTGTTGAGTTTAACAAATTGTAAAAATCAATCTTATTATTTTTGTGAGAGTAAGTATTGTTTTTTATTTACAAATTGTATTTGAGGTCAAATATTAATAAGTAGATATAAAAAATGAAAGAAGATTATACAGGAGGGAAAAAATAAAAAAAAGAGCGGATAGGGACAAAGAAAAAAAAAGGAGCAGAGGGAACATGTCAAGATATTTTTAATTGTTTAAACATTTTTAATAATGAGATGCCCGTGCATTATAGCGGATAAACTAAAAATATAATAAATATAAAAATATTATATGATTAGGATTTAGATTTTATGATATGAGCCCCATTAGACCTTAGAAATAGAAAAATTTGTAAGAAAAAGTCTCATTAGACCTTATCGGCCTGCTATTGTGCGCCCAACCCATGAAATGCGCGTTGTGCTACGGCCCGATATAGACACTGGCTCGATCTGAGCCATTTTGTTTTGATGGACGGCTCGGATCGATTCTAAATTCATCAAAACCCTAGCCCGAATCACACCTTCCCCCGACCGCAAGCTCCTCCTTCCGCTCGGCTCCTCCCCGACCAGTGGTGCCTCGTCCCATCCCCTCCCCTCTCCCGACCAGCGGCACCACTCCTCCTCTGCCGCCCCCTCTCTGCCACTCCCTCTCCCCCTCCCCCTCCCCTCCCCTCTTAGCAGCGTCTCTCAGTGCGGCGGCTTCCCGCGGATAGATCCGGTGGCACCAATGGCGCCGGTGGCTTCCCGCGGTGGATCCGATGGCGACGACAGTGGTAGCAGTTCCCACGGTGGATCCGGCGGCCCCGACAGCTACACGCGTGGCGGCGGCTTCACGCGCCGGATCCGACGGCTACGGCGGTGGTGGCGGCTTCCGGTGATGTTTTATTTTTTTTCCTCTTTCACTTGATTGTCTTATTGGATTTTGTATCTATGTTTGTGATGAATTTTCGCTGAATCACTCGTGCATTTGGTTGTTGATCTGGACTCTAGATGATTTTCTTTTTGTCTTGGACTCTCATCTCAGACATTCCGGACGAGGGATTTTTTTTTTTTGGAGGAGACGGATGAAAAAGTAACGTGTTGACGGACGAGGTGACGATCGGAAAGTTACGAATCTTTTAGTTAGTTAAGAGGTGTTAGTTTTTTTAAAAAGACCAACACTTATAAAATATTATAGGTGTAGGTTAATTTAAAACCGACACCTATAACACCGTTTTTTTTAAAAAAAAAACGGCACCTGCAAAAACTGAGCCGAGTCTTATCCATCCATCCACAGCGGAGATAAGGCTGAGCAGAACCGAGCCAGTGGGGCCATCGAGGAGATAAGGCCGAGATCTCGCATTATTTTTTCTCGGTCTCTCGTTTTCCTCTCCTCTCTCTCGGTCTTCTCTCTCGCTTTCCTCTCTCTCAGAGCCGAGGCGGCAGACGGCGGCGCAAGAGGGGAGGCGGTGGGCACTGGGTGGCGGCAGCGGGTGGAGACGGTGCGGCCAGCGGCGGGAGGCGGCATCGGTGGCGATGGCCGCGCCCTCCCCTCCTCGTCAGCGGCGAGCGGCGGCATCGGCGGTGTGCAGCGGGAGGAGCGGCGGCGCTCGGAGGTGCCCTTCCTCCGCCAGATCCGGCAGGAGAAAGGGCTCCGGAGCCGCGCTGCCTTACCATCCTCTGCGCCATCATCGAATGAGCCGGTTACCTTGACACCCGACATGCCTCCTCCTGCCTTTGTTGTTGGATTTGTGATAATACATGGGTTTCTTGTGGGTGTCAAATTCATGAGGTCGAAGATTAAATTTGGTATTTTCTGGTTGTTTTTGGTTGTCTAGTTGATTGATTGATTTGGGGATCTAGCTTGGGGATGTTTTTTAAAGACAGACTCGGACTCAAATGAACGAACCTAAATTTTGGGAGGGACGGATCACACGGTCGTATGGATGAAAAGTAGGTGATGAAAGGAAAATAGGTGACGAAAAGAAAATTATGAATAATTAGTTAAGATAATGGGTTTATTTTATATACGGACGACGAAAACTTTTTTAATTTTTTAAGTAGAGATAGAGATTAGAGATTAGATCTTTTCCTTTTGTGATTAGGAATTTATATTGTTTATTTATTTTTTAGAAACAAAAAGAAAAAAAAGAAATAGGGAGGGGAGCTCTTTTTTTTTCTGCCTCGATACATCGCGCGATGAAGCGGCATTGCAGGCATGATGACGCGAGCGACGATTTTATGTGACGTGAGCAACGGACGAAACGGACAAAAAAAGATTACGGCTTGTATTTGATACGTACTCAAGGCCATGAATCAATCGGAAAAAAGACGTACGAAAATTCTAATGCGATGATTAGAAAATTAGTAATCTTTTAATTAGTTATTAAGATATTTTTTTCACCTATACGTATGTCAACAATTATTCTGATTGGGATCACAGTTCAATAGGGTAGTCAACTGCTAGCTCTAAAAATTAACGTATTATTTATAGTTAATTTAATAGTTCAAACATACAGTACTTTTATATAAATATATACCTATATACCTAATAAAAAAAGTAATGTTTCCGGATTTTTTTCGTCCGTCATCCAGATTCACGTTGCCAAAATCCGTTTTACTTCGCTTAATAGTCGGATTGGACCTTTTCTAACCTACTCCAAAATCTCGGTTGATATATAATATGTACCGCTCATGTAGCAACCAATCACAACTAGCAGCTTGCCTACTTGGTTAGTGGAGGACATTTTCAACCTGCTCACCACAATTTGATTCCCACCACCTCTCCCTTTTTATACATGTTGTTATTATTATTATTATTATTATTATTACTACTACTTTGCCTCCCACAACTCAAATCCCTATTATTACTTTTTGCCTCTCTCAGGCTAGATTGCTCGAAAAGTCTACTTTGTCCCCCACATCTCAAATCCTATTATTACTTTGCCTCAGAATAAGTCTACTTTACCTCCCACATTTCAAATCCTACTCGGAATAAGTCTACTTTGCCTAATCCTATTATTACTTTGCCTCCCCTAGGATAGATTGTTGCGCAATTTTTTTTCTCCGCCTACTTTGCCTCCCACATCTCAAATCCTATTATTACTTTGCCTCCCCTAGGATAGATTGTTGCGCAATGTTTTTTTCTCCGCCTACTTTACCTCCCACATCTCAAATCCTATTATTACTTTGCCTCTTGCTAGATTGTTGCGCAATTCTTTTCTCTCCGCCACTAGCACGTTAGTGATTCTGAAATCTTATAATGAACCAGTTTTTAATTTAAAAATTGAACGTAATTATTTTTTTTCTTTCGTCATCTGCAAAACACAACATATTAGAGTCCGCACCATCTATTTGCTCCTCTTTCTTCAACAGATATATAGTGATTCTAAAATCTTATAATGAACCGGTTTTTAATTTAAAAATTAAACATTTTTTTCTTTTTGTCATCTGCAAAACACGACATATTAGAGTCCGCACCATCTATCGTCCACGCATGAGGCGTGAAAACGATTCGTCTCCACGCAAGTCCGTGTTCGATTTTAGAAATTATATCAAGCGCTTACCATGTATCCGATGGATGAAAAATCAAAAGTTTTGCACCTCTTTCTTCAATAGATATTTAGTGATTCTGAAATCTTATAATGAACCAATTTTTAATTTGAAAATTAAACATAATTATTTTTTTCTTTTCATCATCTGCAAGAAAAACGACATATTAGAGTCCGCACCATCTATTGTCCACGCATGAGCCATGAAAACGAGTCGTCTCCACACAAGCCCATGTTCGATTTTAGAAATTATATCAGGCGCTTGCCATGCAAGAGTTGAGAGAGAGTGTGTGTATTATGACAATATGAGTATATCAATATGCAATAGTGTTTCTTATCGGTCCTAATTATCATTAGCCCAATGAACAATTTATCTATCTTAGAACATTATTTTATACATGTCAATTGTGTATTTATATAATTTAACTTGTCATTATACCTGTAGCGAAGCACGGGCATTTTGCTAGTATATACTAAATCAGTAATATTTGGTCCACCTATCATGCTCACATTATTTTAGAGCTTGTGTGGTACCTGATTATAAATTCGTAGCTCATTTTTCTTCTCTATCTACTCCTTTCTTATCCACAAGTGTTTGTTACTAGCTTATAGCTTTCTATTGTACTTGATCTTAGCATGATTTTTAGTTACGTGGTACGTGAATTTATTAGATGATCATGTACGCTTATATATTAGACAAGTTTTATCTCAAAAACGCTTCGAGCCAGTCATCCGATACTAAAGAGATAAACTCGAACACTGCCCATCCTATAAATAAATGTTGCAGTCAGTTTTTGTTGTAGTCATTGTTCTTGAATGATTCATTTGATTGAAACATCTTTGATGAAGTGATGGAAAATCTTTTTATCGAAACATTTTTCACCAAGTGACAAAACATCTAAAACATTTTTTTTTACACGTGGTGAATCACCGTCCAATATTGTTTTGCCTTCTGTCGGACATCCGGGCCATAATCATCCCGGATTATCTAGTGCATATGACGAATACAAACTTTGCTGATAAGGACATCTGGACATGGTTGAACTTCTTAACAATGTCATTCTCATTGAATGAGGGATCTAGAAGGATGGAATTTGAAGAAAGTAGGAAGCGTAAGGCCTCATGATAGATGAAGCCCTCTTCAAGATATCGAAGGCCAAGGAGGAGGATGCAAGCAACACAACCTCGCCATTTCCTACCATAGATGCCAAGGCCTTGGCCAATGCCACAGATACAAAAGTACTACGGTGAAACTCAATACTCGTCAAATAATCTTTCAAGGGAATGCTATTATTGCAAATTGGTACAAGGACACACATCCGTCTAAACTGCCGACGGAAGCAGCTCCCAACCAAGGTTGCACACGCTACAGCAAAAAGCATACAATGCCCTATCACGCGTGCTACGCTGCAAAACCAGAATGTGGTAGTCGTGGTACAGGAGTCCCTAACCATGGAGGAGCCTTACCTTTTTCTCCTTCTCTCTCTAAAATGCATTTGCTTGTTCCAAAACTCTGGCAACAAACCTGCATCGCAGAGGTCCATTTTCCTTTTTGTTGCTGGCCTGCTTTCCCATTGGCCCGATCTTTTCCCTCCACTCTTCCTTCCCTTCTTTTCTTTGACTCCCTCAACTAGCAGTCGAGTGTGATTCATGTCCCTCTATCACAAAATCGAGTATAACGACCATCCTAACTATTAAAACTATGCAAAACGACTCCCTTGACTGTTCCGAGGGTGTTTTTTTTTTTATTTTTATTTTACTAACACGACTTCCGTGTGACAGTCCAGTCATTAAAACAAAAATTAAAAATAAAGTGACAATGTAGTCATCCCCTTGCTATCTCTTCTTCCCTGATCTACCCCTACTCTCTCTCCCGGTCACCCCCCTGTCTTCTTCTTGACACAGTAGGGCGACGACTGGTAGTGGTCCTGCAGATGCAGCCTTGTCGCCGGAATATCAACCATTACACTTTGCCACCTCCGCCTCTTCCAATCCCTCGTTGTCGTCAGTGCTCTCCTGAATTATCACCGAGTCATTCACCCTGTTATCGAGTTGATTAAGTACAAGATCGTGAGAAAACTAACAAATGGAGAAAGAAAGTGAGGAAGAAGGTATACGAGGGCTTATGGGTGTAGAAGACAGCGGTGTTGGGGGGGGGGGGGGGGGGGGAGAGGAGAAAGATGAGAGAAATGAGGAAGCAACCGGCGACGATGGTGAGTGGCCTGAACCTCCGTGGCTTGAATCGTAGCGCGTGCAGCCGCTCGCTGCTCCCTTCATCGTCACCACCGGTCTCTCTACTAGCTTAAATTCTTCCTAGCTTGCTAAATGTCGGCTTAACTAGCTCTGCATGCCTCATCGTCACCTAGATAGCTAGTTGGAAGCTTCAGTGCACAAGCAAAACGAGAGGCCATAGCCCAGAGCACCATTTTCGAGAGGGGAGGATGACACGTGGGGTTCACATATTTTTCTTTTATTTCTTTGAAGACTGGGTTCTCATGTGGACGTCACATTAGCGTATAACACTATCAATACTATCTTGGAAATTATTTTACACGGTTTTAATAATTGGAGGAGCCATTATATCCTGTTTTACAGCTGAGAGACATGAATTAGACCAACTATAATTACGGGAGTCAAATTAGACTTCTGGGCCCTGACCCGGTTGACTGTCCCTCTGTTCTGCTCTGCCTCGTGAGGCAAAAAACCTTCGCTCAGCCATCGACCGCCTCTTGCCTCACCTGTTAAGCGCCCAAACGCTGGCCATACTAGCCAGTGGCGGCCCAGGATTTACAGGTTGGGTATTCGAAATGTAAGGGTAAAAAAAAAATCACCCAAAAAAGCCTATAATTGGCTTGTATAACATCAAACACTAGTATTTGTACTATATATAACATATACTCCGTATAACACAAAATAGAGCCAAAGTTCATATTTTCGTAGAATTGATCACAACTCAAAATTGTTTAACATATCTAAGTGCTAATGGTTAATCATATCAAAGTGACAACATATAAAACATATAAATGATTAGAAATCTTACAATTTAGAGGACAATTTTGCAATGCTTGATGTCATTGCAGGACAATACTGAGCAAGCTGCCCTAAGAAGTCCCCAGGAAATACTGCCAATTGACTGGGACTTGGAGGGGTTAAACAACAGGTAAAGGGCCAAAACAACAGTACGAATATTAGCAGAGTGTTAATACACCAAAGAATTGGATGAAGCTGCTTACAGAAGCAGTGCCGCAGTGAGATCGAGTAGTGTGGCTCAGTCGGTCAGTCCCGCATTGTACTTGGTGAAGTTTCCACTCGCAGTATCAAATGCAACATCAGTACCAACAGCAAAAGCCCCAGTTCCAAACACACCAGAAAAGCTAAAAACTAACTAGAGGATTTGCATTCTGGACAACACTAGCATTCACGCCAGCATGTGGATGCAAGTACTGGACTTCAGCCTGAAACAAAACACGCGGAGGAAATTATACAGGACTCAAGTTGAGATCCAGCATATTGTACAAGCTAGAAAAGAAATGGCATGTACCTTTGCAGACTTCTGGTAGGGGAAAGGAATGGATTATAGATAGAATTCCCTTCAGGCCGGGAGTGCCCAGATCATGAACTGTGAATGTAGTCATCAACTGGCAAAAGAGACAATTAATAACTAATCAGTCACTGCTACAGAAGTCTCGGCGGACGGCGGCTCGGCGCCTAGCCGCCCAACAGGCCACAGCCCCCTGCGGCAGTGCGGCGCCGCCAGTCGTTCGAGCCGGCGACGCGCCGCTCGGCCGCCGGCCGCCCTGGCAGATGCTGCGCCGGCGCGCCCAGCCGGCAGCCGCCCCTGCCTGTCTGGCTGCGGGCTGCCCCGCGGTCGCCGGCTCGCCGCCGCCGCACGCCGCAGTGCCGCACGCAGCGCCCGCCGCCGCCCATCTCCTTGCACAGGCAAAGCTAGGGTTAGGAGCTGGTTAGGGCATTTGCATTTGGGAATTGGGGATTTTGGCTTCGAATGGGCTCAGTTGCAGCCCAAGTACACTGCGGGCCGACTGGAAAGGGGGAGGGAAGTGGAAAATTTAGGCCCAATAGAGGAGAAATGAAAAAACAAGGCCCAAATACGTTGTTTAAGTCTTTTTCTTTAACTTTTTGAATACATATACGAACTATAGAGTATATATACCTATTTTTTGTCCAAAAATCTTGGATATACAACTGAATACCCTTGAATTATAGCTGGACCCGCCCCTGATACTAGCAAGCTGATCGCCTCATCGCTATATATGGCCAAACGGGCGGCACGGCCCAGGCCTGGCCGTGCTTGGGCCAAGGGTAGTCGGCCCGGCATGGCCCGACCAACACATCGGGCCGTGCCGTGCCAGCCCACGGGCCGCACACACGGCCCAACACGACTCGGGCCGTGCCGGGCCGGCCCGAAGGCACGACGGTCCATCGTGCTTTTCTACAGAATAAGTCTAATTTTTCTCCCTCCTCATGGGCTGTGACATATGCATAGCTAAAAAAGTCTATATTTCCTCCCTCTTCTTTGGGCTGTGACATATAAATAGCTAAAATAAGTCTATTTTAGGTCCCTATTCTTTGGACTGTGATATTAATATGTCTATTCTTAGTCCCTATACTTTGTGTGTCGGGCCTGGCTTGCTGGCCCCCAGCATGCCGGTGGGGAGGCCCAGGCACGACCTGGCGGTCGGGCTGGGTCGGCACGGGCCCGACCCAAGTCGGGCCGTGCCATGCTTGGGCCGGGCCAAAATGCCGTGACGTGGGCCGGGCCTCGGGACTTATGGCCATCTATACTCATCGCCAAGCCGAATTGGAGTTAAAAAATAGCTTTAGTTCAATTAGGCTCTGTCGGCACTCCTTTTCCCAACCCCTCTCTCTCGTTTTCCTCGCGCACGTTTTTAAACTGCTAAATGGTGCGTTTTTTACAAAAAGTTTTTATAGAAAGTTGCTTTAAAAAAATCAAATTAATTCATTTTTAAAAATAAATTTAGCTAATACTTAATTAAACATGCGCTGATGGACCGCTCCATTTCTGTGCGTACTGTTCCCTTTTTTTTAACTGGAAATAGAGAACACAGCCTAATCTCCGTCTGTTCCGCATGTTCGAGCTCGCCTACAGCAACATATTTGAGCATCCAAATCAATCAATTATTGGACCATTATTGGGCTCAAAGCCATAATTTCATGACGGCGCGCCGACGCGCACTGCACTGCCGGCCGGGAGCTACAGCGCCAGTGAAGTCGACCACCGAACGGTGCGTGGGGTACGGCCTTGTAGCACGTCTTTTTGATACTGTAGGATCAGCTAATTTGGTCCTTCAAACCTTGTTCCGTAATATGATACATGTATACCACTTCCTCGCATTTTGGTTTGTTTTGTTATAGAAGAAACGTCTTTTTGCGTTTGTTATTTGGTCGTGGGTGTATATATATTTGTAGTACTTTTATGTTTTCGCTACTCCCTCCATACTAAAATATAAACATTTTTAGTATAGTAACAAGTTAAATATTTTTAACTTTAACTATTGATAGGAAAAAAAAAGATCAATAAAAAAATTGATGCTACTCACTCCGTCCAAAAATATATGGGATTTTGAGTGGATATGACACATCCTAGTGTCCAGATTCATTGTACTAGGATGTGTCACATCCACCTAAAATCCATTATATTATGGAATAGAGAGAGTACTAAATTTATCATTAAACAAACTATCATAATATACAACTCTTTTATTTAAAATATCATATTTTTATATAAATATTATTGGTTAAAGTAATATTTTAAAACCACGTGAGGATTAAATAATACTTATATTTTGGGACGGAGTATTACTTTGAATCCCTTTTCCTTCCATCCCGTTTTCATCGTGCACAGGAGGACGTGCACATGAAGAAGCACATTCCTCCGCTTCCTCATTTCCTCCCACCGAAAAAAAGCTAGGGTTTGGAGCTGTGCGCCGCTGCTCGTCGCCGCCCCCATCCTCCGTCGCGGGGCGTCGGCACCGGCTCCCTCCTTTCCGTCGGCTGGCCGCCAAGAAAATCTAGGGTTTGGGCTGTGCGAGGCAGCGCCGGGGAAGCAGGGAAGCGGCGAGGCGGCAGGCAGGCAGGCAGGGGCAAGGCCAGATCCGCCGCGCGCAGCGGCCTCGTCGGGCCGGTGGCAACGAGGGCTCGTTGGCTCGTCAGATCCAGTGCCCCTTTTCTCCCTCCCTCCCCCTCCTCGATTTGGTTTGCGGGGGGTGCTCGCCAAAAGCTTCGGGGTACGCATTGCAGAATTTTGTTAGTAATGCGCTGTATGTGTTGATTGATTGCGCTTTTTTTTTTTGCATTACATTTGAATTTGACCGTATTGTTCCCTGGTAGCTATATTTATGGACTTTATTGTTTTGAGTATTATTGTAGCTAGCAAGTCACTTTCATCCATGTAGTTTGAGATGGACAAGCGGCTCGCTAAAAGGCGAAAGCTGATGTTTTTTTCTTTTGGGCCATTGCTTTCTTCGCTGCTGCTATTGTGACTTTGTATGCCAGGTCTAGATTAATGAAAAGAAGACAGGAAATATTTGACTGCCTAAATACTAGAATTTATTACAAGAATGATTCAACCTGCCAAAAAAAATGTTAGAGCTCCTTTACTTCCATTTGTGTGAAGTTTTGAGGGGATGTGAATCATGTGACTTGCTTTGTGATACCATACATGTAGCCACTGTTTGTTTGAGGGGTAGGTTGATTTTTGTAATTGCTAGATTTTACAAAACTGCAATTATTTGGTCAAAACTATCACTTTGCTGCAACTTAACTAGGTATTTCACAAAACTTTAACTAGTTGCAACATTCTGATAAATCATGTACTGTTGTTACCGTTCTCTGAAATGCTTAGTTAAAGTTGCAGCAAACTGAAATTTACTCAACGTTATTTGAACAACTAGTATTGTATTGGAGCCATTGATGGTACACATATATGGGCAACTGTTAGGAAGTCTATGGAGGCTTCTTTTCATGATAGGAAAGAACATGAGAACACTCTCTCTCACTTTTGGTACAGCACAACATAAGCATTGTAAATACCCAATGAAAATGTTATGGAATTTAGAACCAGACATTAAAGAAAGGAATGAGACTGAGGCTCTGTTCGTTCCCTAGGGTTCCCAACTCCCCACCCTTGTTTTCCGCGCGCACGCTTTTCAAACTACTAAACGGTGTGTTTTTTGCCAAAAGTTGCTTAAAAAAATCATATTAATCCATTTTTGAAAAAAATAGCTAATACTTAATTAATCACGTGTTAATGCGAACATCGTTTTACGTGCCGGGGAGGAACCCCTCCTCCCGAACAGAGCCTGACTACTGAAGCCACATCTCAACAAGAACTGGATACAGAATGGTAGATTTGCCACCTATCTCCTGTCTTCGTGATAACTTAACGCATAGCGGAGCGGGGATAGGGGCCTGCCTCGGTGTCGGTGGGAAGGCTCACACTCAGCCCTGTGAATTGATTTTGGACGTCCTTTTTGAAATATGAGGGCGGATTTTGGATTTTTCATGGAGGCAGTTTCTGAAGTTCCCTTTGATTCTTTTTTCCTAGGAAAAAAGGTTCGTTCAGTCTGAACCAGGGGCATGTTCTTGAATGAGAGGCTGAAAGACCTGTTAATGTGTCATTTAGTCTCAGCTGGGCCTGTTATCAGGAGTAAATCACCCACTGAGTCCAAATGTTTAGAGTATTGTATGCTCATCATGATGCTGTAATTTAACTGTTATCTGCCTGTTCTGTGTAATGTTTCATCTTCCATTTTCATATTCCTGTAACCATTGAACCAATTCAATGGAATAAGTCTCTGTTAACATTGATTCAGGTTTTAGAAATGCATTCACTGGTAATTTCAAGCTGGTTCGAAATTCTTGAACTTTAACACTAGTTCATATGTTTGGAGCATGTAGCCATGGTCAGCAACTGCAGGAAATTCTTGAACTTGAACTAGTGCAGTGCAAACAAGACAGTCTCTAGTAAATCACCTATATCATACATGCATATAACTTACACATATTTCCATATTATCATCTTTTGTAATAGATGCAATAGTTCTGTTCACCTTTTTCTGACAAGTAATTCTCTCAAAACTATCATGATCGTTCCATACAGAAGAATTTCCTTTAGTTTGTCCAATGAATGAATGGAGAAAGGGCTGTGCTCAATTTACTCATAGTTCTGTTTTGACACAGATTGGAGTATGATTTTGAGGATCTGAATAAAAGAAGTCAGTAAAATCATTTGTCTCTCACGATGGAGAAGATACAATCTGATTGCCCTTATCCTGGATGTTTCTTCTGTGTTATGAAAGAGGCAAACCCTAGTAAACGAAGAGCAAGTGTACTGAAGTTCTTTAGGGAACTTCCTTCTCAAGATGATGATGGTCAAGTTCTCCCTATTAGTGGTCTTTGGAATACTGCGATGGCACATCCAAATGACCCTGAATTCATCAACTTGGGGATATTTGAATGCATGTCAGCTCTTATATGGAAGGGACTGAAAAACAGGCGTTGGCTTTCTCATGATCAGAATATTTACATCCCATATTATGCAGCACATATAATTGGATCCTACACAATGAATATGGAGGAGTTTGCGGAACGTGCTGTTCGTGCTGGTGTAATACCTCCATTGGTTGAACTCTTACGAGGCAGGCTAACTTGGGTAGAGCAAAGGGTTGCTGTTAGAGCTTTGGGGCATTTGGCTACATATCCCAGTACATTTCCTGCAGTTGCTGACCATGGAGAAGTACTTGAACTTGCTATTCAACTTGCTTCAAGTTCTCTAGAGATTGTGTATTCTCATTTTTACCAGTTTGTGGACCGAAGGATTGGCTACCACTGTGACCTTCTCACACGAGGCATGGGTGGTGTGGAAATGGAATCTCGCAAAGCTGAGGAATGGGCAAGCCAACTTCAGTGCTGGTCTTTGCAACTCATTAACTGCTTCGCATTTAAGTCTGAATTTCTCCATGATATTTGCAAGGCTGATTTTCTAGTCAAGTTACCTGGAATGTGGGGTGGACTCGTAAATGAGAACTCACCTGCTGGTGTTGGTTTGCTAAGAACTATCTGCCAGAGCAAGCTTGGCCGAGGCCATGTTGCTAATATTCCTAGTGTTGTTGAAGCTCTCTGCAACATTGCCCGTTCTTCAGATGACTGGCAATACATGGCTGTTGATTGTTTACTTTGGTTGGTGCAGGATTCAAATACATGTCATAAGGTAGGACATTCTTAAATACATCACATGCATCACTTAAAGGGACTCTACAGCACGACCAATTTTTTTTTTTGTCTTGTCTTAATAACTTGGGGTCTACTCAGTTAATTTTTTCCAGATTATAGCTATTTTTTAATTAGGGTTGCTTAAGATCTACGCCAGTAAAAAATGCAAAAACTATATGGAACATATACTCTGATGTTAAATTTTAGTTTCTGTCAATGGACTAATGGAGGCACACACACTGTGTTTTAACTGGAATAGTTATGTTGATTGATTAGCATTTTAGAAGGTTGTTTTGATGAGGTCTACGTGGTCACTTGTTTTTCTTTCTTAAAGTGGTCTTTATGTGTTCAATTGTTGGCAACAGCAAATTTATATTTTGGCTGCTAATTTAGTATGAATGCAAGCATTACAGATCTGTTAATATCTGTTTTAATGCATGTAGTCATGTTTTTGTTTCCCTTGGTACAGGTAATAGATAGAGTTGCCTCAACACTGATAGATTTAGCAAATATCTCAATGCTCGGTGATTATAAAAAACTTGGTGACACCATTGTCACAGTGCTCCAAGAATGTATGCAACAATATGCAAATTCACGGAATTCAATTAGTACTCACACCAAAGAACAAATTGATGAACTCTTGAGTTCCAAGCAGAGTTTTAAATTGGAGAAGAATATGCCAAAGGAGGATCTTCATATAAAACAAGCAGCAGCATTGGTTGTTAAGTTGGAAGGCAATTCACTTTTCTCTTCAGGGAACATAGCAGGAGCTGCAGCAAAGTACTCTGAAGCACTTGCGCTGTGTCCAATGAAGTCTAAGAAAGAAAGAGTGGTGCTTTATAGTAATCGAGCTCAGTGTTATCTACTCCTGCAGCAGCCATTGGCTGCCATAAGTGATGCTACCCGTGCATTGTGCCTTCATAGTCCTTTGAATCGCCACGCAAAAAGCTTGTGGAGAAGGGCTCAAGCATACGATATGCTTGGTTTAGCGAAAGAGAGCCTGTTGGATGCAATTCTCTTTATAAATGAATGCTCTCAGTCGAATGATCCTGACCTGTCATTAAAGCAAAATAAAGTTCCTGATTATGCTGAGCGTTTGGTGAAGAAGCAGATGCGCACAGCTTGGTTATTCAGGGAAGCAGCTTTGAAACATGGGGGAATCCATTGCGAGGGAGAAGCTAGTGATGCTTTTGGTCAAGAGGCAGATGACTCTGAGTGGGAAACAGCCAGTGAAAGTGATGCTGAGAATGATGCAACAGGAGAGGCAGATGATGAAACTGAATGGAAGAACGATAACCAAGTATGAGAAAAGCTGAGAACCAGGTACATTATGTCTCCTGCTAGTTAATTTCTTTGCAGGAAGAAACATGAAGATTCCTGGAAGTGATTTTGATGCTTGTACTTCAAAGTCTTGCTTAGAATGAGTTAATATGTTTTTTCACATATAGTATTCCTTGACAATTCAGGAGATTACTGTTTTGCTATGTGTAAATCAGTTGTCACTGAGACCCCTCCGGTTCCATTAATTTTCAGGTTTCCTTGCCATTCAGGACGATTGTTGGTGTTGCTTATGTTAGTAGAAACAATGGAACCACCTGCTTGTCTTCTGTACGAGTAAACTGAAACAAAGTTGTGAACTGGACGGAGCCAGCTTACAGAAAGCCTTGCAAGAATGGCTTTCAAAAGTGACAAATCTGGTGCCACTGTATTTATCCTATTGAGAACGAGGCTGAATTTTTCAATGCCATTTATCATCTCATCACCATGTTGGATTTGTCAGGGTTGTGCTTGTGATTCGTTCGATGTGTTCTATTCGGGGAGTAGTTTCATGTTTGGTGTTGTAAAATGTGTTTCCACCGATTTTTCAGCTTTTGAATGGACAAAACTGTGCCTTCTTTTTTTCCTCCTTTCTTGATGTGTGAAGTTTTGCCAAGAGGCAAACTCTGGCACTGTTTTCTATATTCTGCAGTATTGAATGTACATTTTCTTCAGGGTGGATGCTGTGTTTTCTTATTGTAAAACTCTATATTGGTTGAGGATTAACTGGTTTCTAGTTTATGTGTCCGTAGGTTGAGTTTACTATGTGCTCAGTGGTTGTCTGCCTTTGTCTGGGTGCTCAGATAGCGACCTGAAATGTAAGGCTTGAGAACTTGAGTGTGGTGCTCAAACCATATGTAAATATTGTTCTGCCTATTCTTAATGTTCATTTAGTACGCCGTTATGCATATAATGATGCAACAACCCAGGGTTTTATCTATAGTTTTACTCATGCTTGGGTCCCATTAACTGAGAGCAGTATTAATTAAGTTACGATGTTGGCCAAGTCCTATTAAAATATTGCGAAGTGAGCATAGCTCAACTGGTTAGGTTCCTTGTGGTGGAACTAGCCTATCCGGGTTTAAATCCTAAATTTGACACGGGTGTTCGTATTTACGGCTAATTATTCTTTCAGTAGTAGGCAACGTACCCGTCGACAGCGAGGCGCCTGTGGTGACTTCGTCAATCTCAAGATATGCTGGCCCAGTCTTCCGGAGGTGCTCATAGGGGTAGAAATCCTAGATTTAACACGGGTGCTCACATTTACGGCTAATTATTCTTTCAATGGTAGGCGATGTACCCGTCGACAGCGAGGCGCCTGTGGTGACTTCGTCAATGTCAAGATATGCCGGCCCAATCTTCCGGAGGTGCTCATCTAGATTTGACACCGGCAATCTTCCGGAGGTGCTCATCTAGATTTGACACGGGTGCTCACATTTACGGCTAATTATTCTTTCAGTGGTAGGCGATGTACCCGTCGACAGCGAGGCGCCTGTGGTGACTTCGTCAATCTCAAGATATGCCGGCCCAATCTTCCGGAAGTGCTCATAGGGGTAGGATGTGTGTGTATGCGTTCATAGGGGTAAGTGTGCTCACGTTGTGAGCGCCTGCATTTGTACTGTGTTTCTAAAAAAAAGTCCTATTAAAATATTAAATTGTTGTTTTTCTTTGGATTTCTTGGTTTATTAATTGACTGTTCATCGCTCGGCTATGATGTGCACATGTATTTTTACTAGTTCAAAGTAAACCTTGCCATGAACTATAGCATAGATTAGTCGTCACTCGAGCCCAAGAAGTCACAATAGGAATTATAACGCTTTATTCACAAATTATACACTGTAATTCAGGGTTTACGATTCAGAGATGGCCTTCCGTTTTCGGCTCTGGCGGAATGATGGTTTTCACAAAATTCGGTAAAAAATCGGTAGATTCTGAATAAATTTCATAAACTAAAATTTGAATACAAATTTCTTGAGTTTACCGATAAGCTTGTGAAAACTGGTCGACTTTAGCGAAATTCCGAACGAAATCATCAAAATTTCGATCAGTAACTAACTAGGAAAAGGATAAATTGAAATTGTTTTACTTTTTTTAATTCGTTATTCTTTTCTTTCCTACCGTAAATTTTAGTAATGCATTAATTTTTTTTGAAAATTTATATCCCAATTATCATATCCATGGTGATAATTATCGATCGTTACCGTAAGTATTGCAGTCTTGGTCACTGTTGTAACTGTAGTAACGTCCATAGTCGTCATTGCTGCCGGTGTTAATTGTCATAAGATCCACGGTGATGGCCGACTGGCCGTTGCCAGCGTTGCCGGCTGAAGATCCATGGCGGTTATCAGCTGAAGATCCATGTCGTCGGTGATGGTCGTTGCGTGTGTTGTCACATGATCCGTACACCCCAGATGGTTCTTGCAGGTGTCGTCGTCATCGTCGCAGCCATCTTGCGGCTGCGGCCGCGGGACGACGTCCTTTGGTCGCCATGGCCACCTCCAGCATGACGGAGCCGAAATCCAAAGGCAGCGCCGCCGCAGGCGACCAGTGACGGCTTCACCTTCGCCACATTCGCTGAAATGGAACTTTTTTTCTTCACGTCGGTAACGATCGACCGTTCGAAAGAAAAATGCTACAGGACGGTATCTTATTGGAACGGAACGATATCTTCGAGAAATCACATGATACCTGGTTGGTAGGTATCAGCTATGACGTATAATCCTGTTTGAACGGGATACCGTGCTGTAACAATTCCCGTTCGAAAAACATCACCATTATCGGCTTCTGCTCCGGCTTTGGTTTCTCTGTTTTGTTGTTGGCGCCGACGCCCAGGCACAGGCAGCACCGTTTTGCCGGAGTGCACGTGCACAGCGCGTGGCTGGTGCGCGGAGTGACCCGGCCCAGAATAATTCGATCCAAAGGTCGCGTTATTCTGGGCCAAATTCCTATCGGGATCTCGGCCCAATATGAACCTGCAGGCCGGCCCAATTGTGCGGCCTTGTCGTTCGCCACCGTTTCGATCTCTTTATTCTCCGTCCTCTCTGAACTCTGAATTATTCATCGGGAGGATACGCTGGCGGATGCTGGTGCAGTCGTTCTATCATGTGGCTGGACACCTGTGAGGCTGTGCTAATTTGCTCCAATATTTGAAAAGGTCGCGTCATGGCAACTGCTTATATTTCGTGTTGATTTTATCCGGTTTAATTTATTAAAAAACCACACAAGTTTTGTCTAATACTCCACATAATTGTGTGTTGTTGTGACCGCTGTCACGTATGTATACCTACCAACCGGATCCATGCACAGTAGGCACCAAACACGAATAATCAATGCAAAGGCAGGCAATGCACGCGAGATAAACAGATACGGAATCACCAAGAGAGTTTGCCCGGTACTCCCTAAGTCATTTTAGCATTATACACATTCATATAGATGTTAATGAATATAGATATAGACAAATATCTAGATTTATTAACATCTATATAAATATAGACAATACTAAAATAATTTATATTATGAAACGGAGGAAGTAATCAATACATAGAGCTGTCAGAGACGCTCGTGCTTAACTACTTACATCTTCGATATATACTAATCATTCACTCGCCATAAGATCAATTTGCAGCTGAAACGACTTGCACAAATGTCACCTGCTCATCGATCAGGCTGCCGTCACGATCGCCTGTCCGAACAACCACAGCGTATTACGTGGCAACTAATTAAAATAAGTAGTTAATCACCTTGCAAATAAGCTAATAATTATTGAGCTGAATATGCATCCATCCAGGCATCTTATTAACTAAACAAAGCCATCGCTACTTAATTAAGTAACCTGCAAATCATCATCCAAGATTACATGGCCAACATACGTGGAGGTACGATCTGGCGCATGCATAAATTATCATCGTTCTGTACGGAAAATTCGACAGATCGATCTCAAGCAGATGCCGTTATATATGAATAGGAATGAGCAATCGATATTATTGTTTTTGTGTCGCAATCACATCTCAAATGGACTCGTATTATTTTACTATATCTTTTTTTTTGTTCGTTTCGCTTGCTGAAACTGAACTTTTCTCTGATCGATCTCTTCCTCTCCTTTTTGCCTGATGCTGATGCAGCCATCGAAGCTCACGCGGAGAAACAAAACGCCTTGTTCTTTTTTTTTCTTTTTCAAATTATGAAAGTATAATATAATATATATTTTTATCAGTATCTCAACTAATAACTACTCCCTCCATATTTTAATATATGACGCCGTTGACTTTTTGACAAACGTTTGACCTTTCGTCTTATTAAAAAAAATGTAATTATAATTTATTTTATTGTGACTTGATTTATTATCAAATGTTCTTTAAGCATGATATAAGTATTTTTATATTTGCATAAAATTTTTAAATAAGATGAATGGTCAAACGTTGATTATAAAGTCAACGGCATCATACATTAAAAGAAGAAGGGAGTAATAAATAGCACACGGCTAACTTTGGATTAATTGGACCGATCCTTTTGCTACCAACAGCGAACCGCATTCCGCATTTCCGCTGCTGCTTGATGGTGAACGCCAACTTTTTTTTTCCTCCATTAGTAACACGTACAAACGTTTGTAACTAGCCAATCACATATAATTAAAGATAAGGTAAAAAGTTAAAGTAAAGTAAATTATTGGATCCGATGATTACGTACGTGGAGCGTAAGTAGTATACTAACGTGTTTCGCACGATAAGAAGAAGATGGGATGGTAGGAGGACGATTTCGCTTTAAAGATAGATGGCGAAGAGATATTTCTAAATTCCAACGTGAATATAATGTACATATATACGTGCAACCTGCTTTAACTTAAGTCCACAATAAAACCTTCTTTTCTGGATTACTTCTAGTCAAATATGCGGTTACGCACGCCTAACCGGCTTGGCCAAGGACGACTAGACATGCATGAATGCGTGGATCACTTATCAGCTCGTTCCTATCAATCCTGAAAGCTAGCTAAGGAGAATCAGAAGACGAGAAGATATACATGCATCGCTATCTACTACTGCACATGATGTGTACGTGACACTCACTATACCAGTCTCGACTCTCGTCGACGTGGCAGAGATGCAGCCAAATTAAGTCGATGATCTGATCAACCTGCAGCCAGCCTCTGAATTTGTATTGTGCTTTCGGGCACGGTCGGTTACGCGTACGCTTCGAGCACCTAACTAAGCATCCGTATGTGTCGCTGTCCGAGTACGTACGCTAGCTCTACGTACTCCAATGGCGATCAGCAAGTGCAAAAGTACGTACACCTCATCCCAGTACGTGTTTTGTACAAACACTAGCTAATCTGTTATGGCTAGCTTGGAATTAATTGATAACAAACGATTACACGGATCACACAAGAGATGCAGAGTCAATTGATGATGATTTTGTTCAAAGCCTGCAGTGCCAGTGTGCCACTTTGATTAATTGCTTGCAGCGAAGAGTCAAAGTGCTGTTGATTAATGATTAGAGAGTTGCAGATAATGACTGGATTAATTAAGCAATATCTGCCTCGCAAAAAAAAAAAAGCAATATCTGAACTAATTAATTCTGAAAGGCACAGGGGTCCGAACAGTACTTGATAAGCTTAATTCTGCCTGCAGGCTCGTGCGCACTTTTAATTATTTCTGTGAGAGGCTACGAAATTAATTAAAGTGGAGTAAGCTTTGACTCGTTGGATTGGACTGTAACTAACCTTGCTGATTATAGTTGATGTACTGTGCATATCTTCACGGTTGTGTTTCGGTGGTGCGGCCGGTTAATATAATTATTAGCTGGTCCTGATCATCTCCTGGAATCTGGAATTTCTTTTTCCCTTTGTGTGGGCAGTTTCTTCATCGGCATCACGTTCATCTTCCATGTAGAACGTGATAATTATAAGGATAAACATGGCGCGCGGTGCGGCAATTTCATGTGTATGGTGGTGAATCATGTATGACTGGTGCATATTAATTTGGAGTCACTATTAAGTGCTACTAATATCATGCATTGAGATAATTCAAAATAAAATATCTATTCTATAATGTTAGGATCGGATTTGCCGTAAGGTGACATGGTGTTAATTAGTTCTGGCTGACACTGATAGGCCGTTTCCTACCCACTAATCCCTACCTAGCTCCTTGCGGGAAGGGAAAAAAAAAGAACACCGGCATAATAAAAATGCGTTATTTAGCTCCTAGTTATTTTTAAGTGGAACAGTGCTGATTTTTATTTAGCCGACATAATAAAAATGCGTTATTTAGTGTCATTTTTTAATTAAGCAGTACAAAATTCGAGCCAAATCAAGGTGAGGACTACAAATCCTCTTTCTAACGTTGTCCCCCCTTTCTTCCTCTCCCACTGACCAACTCTCTCCATTCTCCCCTCACCACCCAAGCCGCCCAGCGGGTGGTGGCTAGTCGCCCCTCCCTGACATGGCGGCCACCGGTACGTTGGTAACTATCTCTCCCTATCCCTGGCACATCTGCCACCGGATCTGTCCGCTAGAGCACAACGACCACCTGATCCGTCAGCCTAGAGCTCGACCTAGCTGATCCTCTGATCAAACCGAGCTTGGGGGTTGGATCTGGACCTCATACCTCCTCCTTCACCGCACTGGAGAGGAGAGGGAGGGGCTAGTGGGAGGAGGTGCCCTCAAATTCGATGACGGCCACATTTCAGTCTTCTTCTCCTTTCTTACTCTATTGATCTGCTACAAAACTAACTAATCGGCGGCGTCCTGGTGGATAACGACAGTGGCGCCTTTTCCTCCTGATCCAGCGACGAGGAGGTGTGCATGCTTGTAGCTCATGATTTGTTAATGTGAGTTTGGGGTAAATTTCAAGATGTTCGTAATATGTGGTTGTTCTAATTGATAATGTGGTTGTTCTTGCTCTGTGGATGTGATTTGGTTGTTTCTTTGTAGATCATCTTGATCATTCGGTGGTAAAAATTCAAGAACGTTGGGCTGCTCAAAGCAGATGGTCAAATCAAGCCGATTCATCGAGCAATTTCATGTTTTATCCTGGAGAAAACCTAGTGTTGGTTCTTAGTAAATTATGAGTGCCACCGAAGCTCACTAGTAACACTAAAGTTGTGCCGCCAAAAAATCAGGGATTAATGCCGTTTAGAAAGCGGCACAACTTACCTTATCTGTGGTAGTGTCTTGCTTTATTTATATCTTTACTCTTTTATATGGTTAACATAACTTAAGTTGACATGTAAATCTCAACACATGTTGAGTGATTACTATAGCAAAACATATTAACAGTAGCATATTGCCTTTATTAATGTCCTTTACTATTATACGTAGGGTGACATGTATTGAGTTGAGTTAAGTTGACCTACAAAATTTCATCCCTTGTTTAGGAAACTATTGAATAATAAATGTTGCGACAATTTATTGTAAGTGGGTTTTTATCTTTTTGTTTAAGCCATAATCTGAATCATATATATGTGGTGACTTTATCATATTTTTGCACCCCACATGGTTGAGAATTTAGAGATCTGTTTAAGAATTAATATCTAGTTATTGTGATTAGACTCCCGACCACAATTTTTTTCTCAAAAAATTGACAGCGCACACAGTTCATAACAAGCTTTTTTCTAGTTTTGCCCCCCAAGAGCATCCCTAGCATGTAAATCGTCTGAGAGGCAAATGTGGGGTCCACAAGTAGTATCAAACAGTATGGTTCAGTTAGATAATTTACTTATGGATCAAGTAGGATCCACATAGTAAAAGAAAAAAAAATAGAAATATCTCTTCTGGTGTCATGACCTTAGGTCACGGACAAGTTTGGAGATAAATGGGAAAGTTCATTTTCCCGCCTATCCTGAAAAATGAGCCCGAACAAAATGCACAACTTTTATGGTGAATATTTTTCTATTGAATTATGTCTTGTCTTGCTACAGATTTTTGGCCGGTTTATATAGTCCAAAGCCGTATAGGTGAGGTTACAACTTTGCCCCTATGGGCCCTTGTGAGTTTACAATTATGCCCTTGCCATGTCAGCAACTCTAGGGGTGTTTTGGTACATTTAGGAGATCATTACGGTCTTTTGGCACCAGCTGGCCTGAGTGGTCCCCATGGAATCTTCTCCTGGCATCTTTATTGCTCGAATAGTGTTTTCCATTTTGGGTCGTCTTTTCCATCTTGAATCATCTTTACCTTCTTGGGTACTCGACTACTCCTTTCCTCCTGATCAGCTCTTGATAGTTTATCTGTCAATAGTTAGAAATGCACCCAAAAGAGTCGATTTGCCTTAGTAGCATAAACTAACTCGAATGGTACTTTCCAACTCGAAAGGTATTTTACCACTCGAAAGGTATTTTACCATTTTACCACTCGAAAGGTATTTTTACCATTTGAACACTTAGAAAAACTCAAAGACCTCCTCTTTGGCGTTTAGGCTGAATAGAGAGGATGGTGGTGGCTCCCTGCTACAACATCATCTGGTATTGCTTGTCTCTAAGCTTTCATAGCTATTCTAGACACTTCTGGCAATATCTATCATTTTCCGTAGATTTTTCCTGGTATTGCAGTTTCTCTACCTTGGGAAGCATGCACAACTCATAGCTGCCAAATAAAGAGGAACAGAGGGAGTAATTGTTAAATGAAGTTTCGAGTGAATACAATTTTGGCACTATGTAGACATTCAACTTGCTGAAATGATAATATTAATCCAACACTACCAGTTTCTTCCATAAAAACATAAAAACACAATGCAATATCATATGAAAGAATGCGAGGGGGGTAGGGGGCACTTGAGCTACCAACCCAACATAAATTGAGTTGAAGTAGTGGTTTTTTGTTCTTCGGTTTAGTGCTCGTTTTGTGTTGTTTGTTTTTTAGAAGTTTGTTTTTTTGCTTTAAACAAAAAAAAAAGACTAATCGAACAAAGCTTAGAGGATAGAACATCTAGGGTGGTCCAACTAGAAGGCCTAAGGCTTAGTTGTACGTATATACTACGCCCTATACGTCTATTCTTAACCCTAGCTATCGTATCTTTGCCATAGCACGAGTGGTAAAAAAGCAGCTCACAAGCTTAGCATTTGTACCAAGCTCGATTCATCGGTGAGTCTGCAAGCTATCTTATAGGCCGAGCACTATTTGCTAGTGGTGAGAGGCCATATATATGCATCAACTTCATGATTTCAATATCACCACAAGCAACTCCATGAGGCCAATTAAGATCTAGCCAAAAAAAAAATAGTTTTGTGTTTTTCTTGATTGGATTAGTTGTTTGGATTTGATCATCTTCAATATATCTTGCTATATATTGTTTTATTGATTGCTTTTCCATTTTCTTGATTTGATTTCCCTGAATGTAATTCTTAGTGTCATTTGTATAGTTTTCATGATTACATTCTTTCTATTGATTTTGTTTCTATTTTGTTGCCCTTTTATTTTTCTTTCACAACCACATCATGTACAAAGAATATAAGTGGTAATGCACGATTTGAAGAAAGCATGAAAACACCGACGACAACATTGAGGGCTTTGTCAATTTGGCATAATTTTAACTCATAGAAATAAGAAAAACATAGAGAAATAGGAATGCATACACACTTCAATATATTTCAAGGAGGTTTGACGGGATGAAAATATTTCTATGTACGAAATGAGATGTTCAAAAAAAAAAAAGGAGAGCACAAGATAAACCGACGATCGACAGCCCCTTCGAAGTACTTTCTCCGTTTCACAATGTAAGTCATTTTAATATTTCTCACATTCATATTGATGTTAATGAATCTAGATAGATATATGTCTAGATTCATTAACATCAATATAAATATAAAAAATGTTAGAATGACTTATATTGGGAAACGGAGAGAGTACACGGTAGGGCGGCTCGATTCTTGACCGATCACTAGGTCCTTCCTCTTCGATGTGTGTGTGGATAGATGGCATGATGGGAGGAGTACCTAGACAGATTTTGTACCACATGCCTTGTATAGGCCTCCACTGGTATTTTGTGGTAGGTTCATTTCATATGCTCCGTACATTCTAGGGGACCCTGTGCCTTTCCTCTTTCGCCTCCGTCCGCCACGTGTCCTCATCTCGACGGTCGCACGTTCCCACCCTGGCCCCACCCCACACCCCCGAAATGGAACACCTGTCCACGTGAGCCGCCAATCCGCCGGGCCCCACCCGGCCGCCTCACCGCCCATCATGCATGGCCGCGCGAGTCCAAGCGCGCTGTCGTAAGCAGTGACAGAAGCCGTCGTCCCTCCACGCGTCGCGCTCCGACGGACGGTCGCCGTCGCGGCGCTATATATGCCGCGCGCGTCGCACGGCCGGCGCGTGGTTTCCATTTGCTCCTCGCCTAGCTAGCTTGTCTCTCTTCCCCGGAGGAGAAAAAGGAGGAGACGAGAGAGAATTAATTATCTCGGAGATGAGCGGCGGCGGCGAAGGGGCGGCGGCGGCGGAGAGGCAGGAGCTGCAGCTGCCGCCGGGGTTCAGGTTCCACCCGACGGACGAGGAGCTGGTGATGCACTACCTCTGCCGGCGGTGCGCCGGCCTCCCCATCGCCGTCCCCATCATCGCCGAGGTCGACCTCTACAAGTTCGATCCATGGCATCTCCCAAGTACGTCTCTTCCATCTCCCTCCTCCATCCATGCAAACTTATAGCTACTGTTCATCGATCGTCCATGACTCCATGCAGGAATGGCGCTGTACGGCGAGAAGGAGTGGTACTTCTTCTCCCCTCGGGACCGCAAGTACCCGAACGGGTCGCGGCCGAACCGCGCCGCCGGGTCCGGGTACTGGAAGGCCACCGGCGCCGACAAGCCGGTGGGCACGCCGAGGCCGGTGGCCATCAAGAAGGCGCTCGTCTTCTACGCCGGCAAGGCGCCCAAGGGCGACAAGACCAACTGGATCATGCACGAGTACCGCCTCGCCGACGTCGACCGCTCCGCCCGCAAGAAGAACACCCTCCGGGTACATATATACGCCATTAATTAATTACCTCGAATTTGCTCTTAATTCATCAAATTCAAATTCAGACGAATTCTACTCTCAGTTAATCAAGTTTAGACAAGAAGTTCTAGCTGATTGGTTATCGGCACGATCGATATCATATGATTTTGATGTGGATTAACCACACAAAATTCGATCGAGATGCTAATTACTGATAAGATAAGTACGGACTTTTGGAAGGACAAATGATTCCTCTTGCTAGGTTAGCTTAGGTTAGCATCTGTGTGCCGCTTTCTTGCAAGTGTGAACGCGGTGGATGCCGGCGCGGGTCACCACCTCCACGCGCGCAAATAATTTACTTTCTCTGTTTCACGATGTAAGTTATTCTAATATTTTTCAAATTCATATTGATGTTCTATCTATATTCATTAAACATTAATATGAATGCGGAAATATTTATCTAGATTTATTAACATCAATATTAATATGAGAAATGATAGAATAACTTACATCGTGAAAGAGAGAGTATTGTATAAACGCTAAGCTTTAAATTGCGGGCGACGATAGCGACGGATGCGAGGAGATATGCACGCCCACCAATAATGCGCTTCGGAGGAATTTCGATTATTGTTCATAATTATTGCTGATACTGTTTGTTTTACATTAATTGGGCGGATTTCATCATATATTTATTGTTGTGATCACGAAATGATATGGTCTTGATGAAATTTGATTTGATTTTTGGTGGTTTGTGTTATTGCAGCTAGATGATTGGGTCCTGTGCCGAATCTACAACAAGAAAGGCGGCGTGGAGAAGCCGAGCGGCGGCGGCGGCGGCGAACGTTCGAATATGATGAGCCACGGGGAGACCGCGTCGGCGGGCTCGCCGCCGGAGCAGAAGCCGGCCGTGCTGCCGCCGCCGCCACCGCCGTACGCGGCGGCGGCGCCGTTCTCGGAGCTGGCGGCGTTCTACGACGTGCGGCCGTCGGACTCGGTGCCGCGGGCGCACGGCGCGGACTCGAGCTGCTCGGAGCACGTGCTGACGACGTCGGCGTCGTCCGGCGGCGTCGTCGAGCGGCCGGAGGTGCAGAGCCAGCCCAAGATCGCCGAGTGGGAGCGCACGTTCGCCGGCGCCGCCGCCCCGGCTGGCGCCGTCAGCACGGCCGGACCGATTCTGGGCCAGCTCGACCCCGCCGCCGCCGTCGCCGGCGGCGGCGACCCGCTCCTCCAGGACATCCTCATGTACTGGGGCAAGCCGTTCTGACGGCTCGGCTCGGCTCGGCGGCTTGAGCCGGGAGGGATGAATGATCTGATATTCTATCGGGGTGGCTCGGGCGAGCCGCTGGAATCGATCGGTGGCCGTTGGATGGCGGCCGAGTTATTGGTAGCCGTCAGATGGGAGATGGAATGGCATTAGTTAGTTACTAGTATCCGTATGGACGGCGGCGATGAAACAGGGGAGCCCCGAGATGCGTGTAGGAAGGAGATGCATGGTACTGTACTCGAGAATTATAAGCCGTGTGTATATGCGAAATTGGTTGGCTAGATCGATCTGGGCGTATTTCTCTCTCGAGGCTCTTGCTATGTTTTTCATCTTTTTTAAAGAAGACTGGACACTTTGTCGCATGCAACAAAGCATGCTGCATTTTTACAAGGTGTCGGCAATCATATAATTATGCACTTGTATCAGCATTCAACATTTAAGCAAAGTGATTTTTTTAAGAAAATCTTTTAAAGGAGTAAATTCATAGTTTAAGAAGAGAATACGAAAATATGATAATTAAGAACTTTCAGGATTGGGTATGGATTTAAACCATAGCACTTGATTTCAAAAAATCTGTATAGATTTTTCGATTAAAATCGAGCGGATTTCCTTAAAATGATATTCTTTAGCTCTTTTTTTTAAAAAAAATACGGGGGAGAGATTCCTCACCTGAATTATATTGAGAGAAAAAAAAAGGTTACATCACAAAGAGATTACATGATTAGGGAGAACGAATAGAGGAAGAGAGAAGATTTTTCCAATCGGTAACTACCGATCTATCTTACCGACAAAGACGCTTAGCCCACAGAGTAGCATCTTCAATACATTTGACAACTAACTTAGTCCGGGAATTGGGAAGACCCCGGAATACAACATATTATGTCTATGATTCCAAAGCCTCCAAAAACAAAGCAGGAAAAAAATTCTGAAATGCTTGGCAGGTAGATGGCAGGGAACGGCGAGGTCAACGAGATCATGAACATCCGAAACAACATATATGCGTAAGGCTCGCCAGAAGTCTTGGAAAAATTGACAATGAAGTTAGAGATGACTCGCCGTCTCAACACCTCGGTTACAGACAATACACCCACCTGTTTAAACAATGTTCTTCTTATGTAAGTTAGCTTTGGTAGGAAGACGATCCTTAGCAAGAAGCCAAGCGAAGAATTGAATGCGGGGTGGGGGGGGGAGCTCGGTTGTCCCAAATGAAGTGCCAGTTCTTGCACAGGGGCAGGGTCTGTTGAGAGGATGAGTAGACGCTCTTAGTGCGAAGGATTCCAGGAGCATCACGTGGCGTTCGCAAATCAGTAGAGGCACTGAGGCAGACGTCTTGAAGCACCTCTCGCAATTGCAGCAACTGAGATTCAGCCATGGAGGATAACCTGGGAGCAAAATTGTCTTCTATTGGCCTTGAGAGGAACATTACAACTGTAGCCTCCCCATCCAGGGCATGAGAGAATAAGGTGGCAAAGTGATCTTTGAAAGAATTCGGACCACACCAGCAATCTTTCCAAAAGGAAGTGCGTGTGCCATCCCCTACCTGAACGCGCGTCAAACGCTGAAGAACCGGGAGGAGAGTGGCCAAGGATTCCCAGTGAGGACCGAGCTGATTATCACAAAAGAGGGAGGAGCCGGAGTGTTCTTGCCATATCCAGCGTCCCCAGGAGGAGTCGACCGAGTGAAGATGGTGAAGTCTTTTCACGAGCAAAGCACATTTTTGATCGTGCATATTTTTAATCCCTAGGCCACCCACATCCTTGGCAGTGCAGACTGTGTCCCAGACAACAAGGCAGCTGGAGGCACTACAGTAATCATTTTCAGACCAAAGGAACGCCCGCCGTTTTTTATCAAAAGCTTCAATTGTCCCCTTGAGGAGCAAGAGGGCCGACATTGTATAGATCGGGAGGCTATCCAAGATAACATTTCCAGTATTATATAAGATTTTTATGTATAAGTTTACCCTGGTAGGCTCAAAATATACATCCCCGAACCCCCTGCATTTTATCTTCTTCACTCTCTTGTTGTAGATTAAAAAAAGCAATACAATCCACTAAGATGTGATCAGAATAACATTTTTTCAATTTCTACTCTCTCGTTTTTCGTGTGCCTACTTCCTAAATTACTAAAGGTACATATTTTAAAATTTTTCTATAGGAATTTTTTTTTAAAAAATACTAATTCATTTTTATTTTTTTAGCTAATACTTAATTAATCGTGCGCTAATTCGCAGCTCTATTTTACGTGTCAGGGTAAAAGGTTCCAACCCTAACTACCGAACACATGCTAAGAATGAAACCTTAACTGACTACTTATACGTACAAACAACCAAACAATCGTATTACCAATAGTTAGCGCTCATTAAAATAAGGATAACATAGTACTAGCATGTATTGACATATCTTATGGTTAGCGCTCATTAAAATAAGGATAACATAGTACTAGCATGTATTGACATATCTTATATTTACCTTTTGTAATTATTATGCATAAAAAAATTAGCCAAATACATCAATACAAGCTTAAAGATGAATTTCTTGAAACATTGCGCTCCACTACTTGAGGGTTTTCGAAACGTAATGCTGGGATTTTGCCTTACGGTTCTCTCCAAAAACCTAGTTTATTTTTGTAAAATTTACTCTTTTATAACTTTTTTCTCAATTGCGAGACCTGAAATTTAAGCATTCCTATATTCTTTATCTATGTACGTTCACAGGTAGATATAAAGATCGGTTTTTCATCCATTTTATTGAAAAACATGTGTGCACACGTATTTGTTCATGTATGTAATAAAAAAGTAAAAAAGAAGGCATCGCTAGCCAAATGTACGTACAAGCCGTCGGTCGAACCTTTTATACATGTCCCAGTCGGCGTGTCAATTTGCGCACCGTTTCTTTTAGACCAAACTTCCACGACGTTGTTGATATATGGCCCAGAGCCCCAGACAGTGTTGCTGTAGTGTATCGACGACTTGGATGGTTCATGTCTATATATGGAAGTGTGGAACACACGGGAATCCAGTAACCCACACAACCCGATCGTGTACGTAGAGATTTCGAGCTGTTTTTCACGTGAAAAATCCCTCCGAGAATTAAGTCGATGCGCGCGCGACAGCGCGAGCGCCACGTACGTACGTGGACAGAGGCACACAGGGCCAACATGCCTTGCACGCGGCAGAATTCCACGATGCCCAGCCACACGTCCCGTCGCGCGTCGCATATGATCGCGTCGTGGAGCCGCGCGCATCTGCTGGAAAGCGAAGCGAAAAGGAAGGGGGGAAAAAGGGCAGCAGAGGAGAGAGATGCTGGCCATGGTGATGGCGGTGAGCCGCTGGTGAGTGGTGACTCCGGTGATGGAGTGAGTGGGTAACCGCTACCATTGTCAGCGGTCTGAACCAGGGCCGACTTCACGGTGTGGCCCAAAGAATTTCCAGCCCATAGCGTATACCACTATTGGGCCAAAGCATCTAACGAGAGTTGCAAGATTGGAAAAAGTACACTGAAGGTCCCTCAACTTGTCATCGAGTTACAAAATCATCCCCCAACCGCAAAATCAGATACCGGACGTCCCTCAACTAACAAAACCGTTCACTTTAGATCCTACGGTGGTTTTGACCCTGGTTTTATCCTACGTGACGGCTGAGGCAGTGTGGGACCCACGTGGGCCCCACATGTCAGCATTGCCACATCAACCTTCTCTCTTTTCCTCTCTTATCTCCCATCTCATTTCTCTCTCTCTGTTCTCTGCGAGAGTGAGTCTGCTGAGGCCAGCAATGCGAGGCGGGAGAGGAGGAGGGCGGCGCCTCGATGGCGCCCGCCAGCGGCGGCGGTGATGGGGAAGCATGGCGGCCACCCGCGGAGAGGAGGTCCACGCGGAGCGCGAGGTCCATGCTGTGTAGAGGAGGTCCATGCGGAGCGCGTCGGCGAGGAGGAGCACGATGTGCTCCCATTGAAACCGAAGGTGGCGCCGGCGGCACGGGGGGCATGAGCCTGGAGGGGAGCGCGTCGAGCTGGCACATCACCTTCTCGATGTCGAGGACGAGGCGCTCGGCGAGGGTGCGGCTGAACTCCTCCCGGATGACGAAGCGGAGCACCATCGCGTCGGGCGGCATGGTGTACGCCGGCACTATCCAGCCAAAGCGCCGCAGCATGTCGATCTCGAACTCGTCGTGCAGGCTCCTGTCCTTGAGCGAGAACGCCACCAGCGGTCGCCGCTCCGCCCCCGGCCGCCCGCACACCGCACCTTCCCCCGCCGCCACGTGGTCGGTCGCCGGCCGCCGGTCACCGACGCCCTCCTCCTCTCCCGCCTCGCAGACTCGCAGTTGGAGAGAACGGAGAGAGAGATATGAGGATGGGAGAGAAGAGAGGAAAAGAGAGAGAAGACTGATGTGGCAATGCTGACATGTGGGGCCCACGTGGGTCCCACGCTGACTCAGCCACCACGTAGGACAAAACCAGGGTCAAAACCACCGGAGGATCTAAAGTGAACAGTTTTGTTAGTTGAGGGATATCCGGTATCTGGTTTTGCGGTTGGGGGACGATTTTGTAATTCGGTGACAAGTTGAGGGACCTTCGGTGTACTTTTTCCTTTCAAAATTCGAGATATATATGAATAAGTCCACATTGACTCCCAAATTATAGGCTGGGGGCGGCTTGCGCGGTGCCGACTGGCCGCGCGTGGTGGTGGGTGGCCCAGATCCGTGAAGTTGGATCCCACAGCCAGGGACAGGATCAAGGAGCTCATCTGCGGGGAGGCGATGCTGGTAGCTCACCGCCGGTAGTGAACTTGTGGTGGACGACGGTGTGCAAACTCATTTGGGAGGACACCGGTGGATCTAGCAGTGAGATAAGAGAGAGAAGAGAGAGAGAGAGGGTTGAGGGTTGTGGACGAAGGGCTAGATGACATGTGGGCTTCAATTACATTTTTTTTTTAAAAAAAATGTATCCGGCTGGACTGCCATACATGCGCCACGCCACGTAGAACTAAAACTAGTTTGAGGGGGCAATTCAGACATTTTTTTTTGTCAAATTATACTAGTTTAATAGTTGGGGTTTGAGATATCTGGTATTGCGGTTAAGAGATACACATTAGTTTGTACCTATAGTGAGGAACTCAAAGTGGACTTATTTCTTCGAGATAAAATCGGACCAACAGGCCCAAAAACACAAGACTTGGCCTCACCCATTGGCCATGGCCCAGTAACTCACCCTTCTTTAGTTCTCTTCTTCACACAGTTTGACAACACTCGGGCCACAAGCCAGCGGTTCAGGCCGAGCTCCGGCGAGCCATCGGGGAGGTAGAGGATGACGATCTGGCAAAACCAAAATCTCGTAGCAGAATTTCGATAATCTACTCGCGAAATTTCAAGCCCTGATACCTCTCTCTCTCTCTATCTCTCTCTCTCTCTCTCTCTCTATATATATATATATATATATATATATATATATATAAAAGCACACACGCGTGGCTTCCTGCCTTCCCACAATAAAAATTACAGGTGCAATAGTCATATACACATGCATACTAGTTCGATTAATTAGGCCAACATAAATGTACGTATACTATATACGTACTAGTATACATGGACAGTGAGCTAGCTAGCTGGACGCCCTAGACGGTGGCCGCCTGGGTCGCCGTCGTCGGTGGGCCGACGACCGGCGCGGCGCCGGAGCAGGCCGGCGGGCGGAGCCAGCGGGCGAAGGCGTCGAGCGTGCGGGTGTCGGCGCGGTAGTGGCGCTGCGTGAAGCGCATGAAGTCGGCCCAGGTGAAGTCCGGGTAGAGCCGCCGCTCGCCGGCGCCGGCGCCGGCGGGCGGCCGCACCACGCGGTCCTCGCGCGGGCAGAGGAAGAAGGCCAGCGACCGCCGCTCCTGCTCCCGGTGCACCACCGCCCGGTGCAGGCAGCTCTTGTACCGGCCGTTCGTCAGCGCCTGCAAAATCACCATCAATAATAATTAAACAGTTGCATCAATTTTCACTAGACACAATTACACAAACTAGCTAGCTGCACAGCAAAGTGAATACAACTAGCCAACTACAGTACTAGTGTCCGAGTTGGATTTGGGAAAAAAAGTAGTATGTTAATTAAATTTAAGTTGTGTAATTATGAATAGTTTTTAATTTGTATGTTTGTGGAATGTTGTAATATATGCTACACTATAAATCTTCCAATCTTTTGTCCTAAACTCAAAATTACATTATCGAGTAAATTTCACGTAACAACGAATATATTAACTAAACTATTATAAACCTATAAATTTATATTGTAGTTATTTTACAATAGAAGTACATACTTAAAATAAAGTATCGTAAATTGCAGATTTAATAATAAATGTATCATAAAACTGTAGATTTAACATAAATTTAATCACAAAAGATGAATAATTATAGTTCAAATGTAACATTATTGATGGAGATTTAAACTAAAAATATTCATTTTAAGATAACTTAACGATTAAATAATAAATGTAGTTTTACCATACTTAGTCTTAAAATATGTATTTTTATAATAAATTTTATATCAAATCTATAGTTTTATAATGCATTCTCAAAGTTTTACGATAGTTTAGGGGCATCGAATGTTTAGGTAGATGCATGGAGTATTAAATATAAACGAAAAAATAACTAATTATACAGATTGCTTGAAAATTGTGAGACGAATCTTTTAAGCCTAATTGCTACATGATTTGACAATGTGGTGCTACAATAATATTTGCTAATGACAGATTAATTAGACTTAATAAATTCGTCTCGCAGTTTACAGGCGGAATATGTAATTTGTTTTATTATTAGTCTACATTTAATACTTTAAATATATGTCCGTATATCTGATGTGACATGTCATAACTTTTCACCCTGATCTAAACATAGCCTTAATTAAAATTCCTGTAGTTTTACAAAATTTACCCTACTACCACCGTATTGCTGTTTGTCTTGACTTGACCGGATCCAGACATCTGTGATATATGCGATCAATTGCGAGATATGGACGGATGGACTCTTGGGACACACACAGTACAGTACTATGTGGTGTGTGTGTACGGGGCGCAGCACGCGGACGTGCGAAGTCGAGTCGGAGGGCGACTCCTCCGGTCCTCCCCGCCCCGTTCTGCCGCAAAGCCTGGCGCCGAAACGGGGAAAACGACGGCGTCGTGTGCGTACGTACCCCCTAGTGCGTCCCACTTCCTCCGTTTCAAAAATACTTCACCCTCAGTCTTAAAATATAGCAATTTATATTGGATGTGATACATCATATCTAGATTTATTGTACTATAGTGTGTCAAGATTCGTTGTACTATGATGTGTCCTATCCTGTACAAGGTTCCCAAAATACTTATCGTTTTGAGTTTTTATTTATAACTTTTGACCATTCATCTTATTTTAAAAATTATAGAATTATTATTTATTTTGTTTGTGACTTGCTTAATTATCAAAAGCACTTTAAGTATGACTTATCATTTTTTTTATTTGCACTATTTTTTTAATTAAGACGAATTGTCAAACGTTCTAAGAAAAAAAGTTAAAGCGACTACTAATTTAGAATGGAGACAGTATAGCAGGATATGATATTATCTATATCCAGTTTTATAATACTAGATAATATCACATCACATTATATACTAGGTAGCTTTACACTTTAGAACAATTTAGAACAAAGATAGTACCACCGGCGTTGCGCGCGGCCGGGGCCCACCGGCCACCACCGCCTGCCTGCCCGGTTCGTCTCCGGCTCCGGCCAAAATAGACAAGCGTCCAAACCGGCGGAAAAGAGAAACAGCCCTCTGTAGCTTTAATTTCTCTCAGTGCAAAAGAGACGACGGACGAGAGAGGCCTCGCACTACGTACCATGCCTGCCTCTCTGCCGTCAGGCAGGCCAGGACAGATGATGGATAGGTGAATACTACTATCTCGTAGCAGACGAAGGGTTTACTGATGAGGCCAATGGACAGGACACAGAGCCACTGTTAGGCTATGCAAAAGGTTAAATTCCCAATAAGCACGCCCTTTAAGGCCATCCTAAGCCAGAAACTCTCCGGTTCTATACTTAATTACTATGCCATATAAACACTATGTATAGAAAGTATATATCCAATGGATGTCGTCTTCAAATTAAATTCTAATCCAATTATCTTTTTTCTCTCTCCTTTTATCGACCTATCATCTCATTTTTATTCTTGGTTCTTGTGTAGAGATGGTTTCTTGTATGAGAAATGATTTCTTCATCTTTTTACCTCTCTTCTCGTTAACTCTTTTGCCACATCAGATTTTTACTTATGTGGCAATATATTTAATGATATGGACACTAGATAACACGAAGGGTTGAGGTTGGCCTAACAAGTTCAAGCCTCGGACAGGACAGAGCCACTGTTGTATAGGAGTAGCTGAAAATCTTAAGATTGCCGGTCCTTTTACCGACTCCGTCCTAAAATAACTCTACTTTTCACTATCTTATGTATTGCAAAATAATTTTAGCTTTTAAATAATCATTGGATTAGAATTTATGAAAATGGCTGACACAATATTGGAACCAGATATTACTTTGGGATTTGATAAAGTGTAGAGCATTCTATTCTTTCTGCTTTTATATTAGTACGTCTGGGATGGATAGATGAAAAATGAAGTTATTTTGGGATGGAGATCCACACTTTTAAAAGTATGATTAGTAAAATCTTTATATATCAACATTACCTAGATTTGTTTTAAACTATTTGAATATTAGGTTTATATTGTACAATAGTTTATCTCGCGTAATGAACTACATGTCCTACTCTCGTAATAATACGAGAGGAGCAAATGTTCACGGTAGGAATGTTGATACATTATTTGAGAATATTTGACAAAAAAGACTGACAAAAACAGTACTGTTAGCGATTGTTTGGAGAGAAAAAAACAGCTACAAACACATATTCCTTGCCGGATCGGACAAAGGTTGGTACGGAGTACAGTATATGGCAACGGTAATTGTCAACAGTATTGAAGACGCGCGGTTGTTTTCAATAAACCATTCCCGGTAAGTTGTATGCCCCTTCAGAAGTGGTTTTGGAAGGAATAGGTTTACTACTGTATAGCAGTGTACTATCTGGTCGTTGGATGATTTATTCTATTGTTAATTATTTTTGGAGAATGCTATAGAACGATATCCCGTTCGGACAAGATAATACCTCTGAGGTATCACCTGATACCTGGTAGGTATCCGCTGGTACCCTGTTCGGTCGAAATGATACGTCTAAGGTATCAGCTGATACCTGATAGGTATCGACTGGTACCTAGGTATTAAGCAATACCTATCATTCCTCTATTATTTTCTATGGATCAGTATTAAAGAACCGACATAATTAAATATAGAGTAGTCTAACTTAAACATAATTATAATTTTGGAAAATATCTATGTACAAACTAATCTACACAACCATGCAAAAAGATATATCGAAACGTAAACCCTAGGTGATCAACGTACAAAACACTATTACAATATGCCTGCCAGTTATACTATAACTATATGTATTATGCAACCTTATTAGGTCACCGATACTTTTAAGTGAGTGATAAAATACCAAAACTGTTAGCTTATACTAGGGGTAGACGCCATGTTTTGTTATGGTAGCAAAATGCGAACGTCACGTCCAAAATAGCCTATCAGTAATTTATAGCAAGTATCTAATTAATGGCTAAAATAAATAGACAATGTGATTTTACCTAGAAATATTATTTATTGTTACTAATAACTATATATGGATCAATCTTATAGATTAACATAGATAAAGATATATCGCAGGGGACGATAGATTGGGCAACAACCACACCGAACCGACATTAGAGCGGAGCCGCTACACTGACTAAATTATATTTTTAGGACTTTTTAATTTTTTTACGATCACATAAAAGACACAACCACACCACCATGCACGCACACCGCACTCGTACACACTTGTGAATGAGAGGCTCTAACACTGCTTAGAGACGGTGGTCAATGATAAATCTCTAATATCACTACATGCCTATATTATTTTAATTATAATTATGATTATGACTATGATTACATTTCTAGGACCTTTCGGATGGTTGTGATTATATTACTGTATGATATGCTATGTGTGATCGCCTTGCCGAATCTAAGTTTGCTGAAATATATTGGTTGCTTTACTCCAAAAAAAATGCACTACGCGCGTGTAGCCAAATGAGTGTGTGATGCTTTTTTTTTTCTAACCATATAATTTTTTTTTTCAAGATGATCTGAACTTGTAGTAAGTGACATGCATGCTAGTAGTAGGGACATCTGTCTGCTGTTGGGTACTGTTAGTTTGTGCATGTGATATTTGATAATGATGTGTGTGTACGTCTTCCTTTTATAAACCCCAAAAAATGAATATAAGATGCCTTATTTCTTTCTACGAAACCATCACTACAAGAATCTCATGATATTTTTTGCGGTGTTTACTTGGCGGTCGGACAACGGATTAATTAATCTTGGTGCTTTTCATACTTGGACGGTTTTTTACCGCAAATATTCCATATGATGATTAACTTCCAAATTAAAGACATGCCAATTTACTAACCGAACGGATTATAGCGAGATCGATGTGAGATCTCAGCATTTGGTACGTGTGGTCAGGATGCTAAGCTATAGCTACTCGTCCTTTGCCGTACGGCGGACGCGAGCAAAACGGGTGGAGCCAATGGAGCTAGACGACGACGTACGTCGAGGTCGCGATGAGACACCATCATGGCCGGACACGACGACACGACACGGCGATCGATCGATCCGAGATCCATATCCCGGCCGAGTACTAGAGTACATACCATGAAGGTGTCGCCGATGTTGACGACGAACGCGCCGGGCAGCGGCCGCACGGGGCGCCACGCGCCGGCGACGAGCACCTGGAGGCCGTCGACGTCGCCGTCCTGGAGGAGCACGGTGAGCGCCGACGGGTCGCAGTGCGGCCCCGTCCCCAGCGTCCTCTCCGGCTCCGGGCACGGCGGGTAGTAGTTGCACCGCATGATCGAGCTGCTGTCCTCGAAGAACTCCCTGTAGTATCCGCCCCCCACCCCCAGGCTCTCCCCTAGCACCGCCATTATCGCCTTCGTCACCTCCTCCATCGCCTCGCAGTACTCCTGGTACACCTCCCTGCATCATTTATGCTCCATGTCATCGCCCGGTTTAATATAATCCATTATCTATAAAAAATACTCCATGTCATCGATCGATCGATCTCTCATGCAAATGTAGCTAGGTGGTGTCATGTGTGCATGCACTACTAAAAAAAAACCTGTTAAAATAGGTTTTTACGGACGGCCAACCACTCTGTTAGGTTTTCACGGACGGCCAACCACTCCGTTACAGACCAGTGAAAATACACCCTTTTCGCTGGCGAGCGAAGATGCCTTTTCGCTGACGACTGTCATAACGCAGCCGCCAGACTGGCGGCTGCTTTATGATAGTTGATAGTGAAAGCGACATTTATCAATACTTTTGGGTTGTAAGGGCCATTTCTCGTTACATTTTCGTAGGCGGAGTGCACATCTAGCTTAAAAAAAAAAGGTGTCGTCATGAAAAAATATTCTTCTAACTAGTGATTTCTGTGAATTTACCCTAGGTGTTTGAAGTCGTCGCCTAGGGTGGAGAAGTAATCGGCGACGGTGGAGGAGTTGTTGCCGGCGGCGTTGGCGTGGCGGTGGCCGAAGGAGAGCGTCTCCTTCCAGGGGAGGTTGTCGACGAAGCGGTCGGCGTGGGCGGCGGTGTAGCCGGTGACCGTGCCTGGGGCGCGGCGGGCGCGCTGCTTCGCGGCGGGCGGGAGGCGGAAGAAGCCCGCGGCGCCGTCGAGCGCGGCGCGCGCCAGCGACGGGGGCACGCCGTGCCCGCTCACCTGGAAGAACCCGTGGCTCGCGCACGCGGCGGCCACCTGCGCGACGGCGCGGCGCATCCCGGCGGCGTCGCGTAGCGCCGCGGCGAGGTCGACCACGGGCACGTCCAGCTCCCCCGTCGGCGGCGACGACGGCGGCAGCGCGACGTCGGCGCGCGGCCAGACGAACGGCGCCGGGATCTTGGCCGGCTGCCGCCAGAGGTCAAGGACGACGGCAGCGGAGGAGGCGGCGGCGTCGTCGGCTTCTCCTCCTCCTCCCTTCGCCGTCACGATCAGCTTACTGGCATCCTGCGCGTTCGAGATGTACACCATGGCTGTACCTGTACGTATGGTCGAGCCGGTTTCTGCAGTGCAGAGTGTGTGTGTGAGAGAAAGGAGCAGAGTGTCGTGTGCTATTTGTAATGGGTGAGGAGATGCATGCATGTGTGATGTGTCGATCAAGCGAGCGAGCAAGCTGGGTGCGAGTGACGCACACGCCAAGCTTGTATATATGCCTGGTTTTCACTGTCAAGAAGGACAACAACGACAATATACTTTTCAACTCTTGCTAAGGCCTACCAAAAACAATAACTTTTCACCCATCCCATTAAATATTTGGACACATGTATGAAATATTAAATGTGAAAAAAAAACCAATTACACAGTTTACGGGTAAATTGCCTGACGAATCTTTTAAGCCTAATTACGCCATGATTTGATAATGTGGTGCTATAGTAAACATTTACTAATGACGGATTAATTAGGATTAATAAATTCGTATCTTAATTTCCTGGCGGAATATGTAATTTGTTTTGTTATTAGACTACATTTAATACTTCAAATATGTGTTCGTATATCCGATGTGACAAATAAATCTAAAACTTTTTTCTGACTAAACAAGGCCTAAATAGGGAGAATAAGTGAACTGCTAGTATATAGTTCCTATCAGTGATTGAAATTTCGCCACCCCCACCCCCCCAACCCCCGCCGCGCAAGTCGCTATCTTGTCCAAAATTTTACAGTTTTTCTCAGTTTTTAAAAAAATTGATTAAAATGTAGTACAATTGTGTTAAAAATTTTGAAAAAACCTATCCAAAATGTAACAAAAAATCCTGAAATTTTGGTTCTACCGAAATGAATAAAATATATTTTCGGTAAAATTGAAAGTGAAAACCCCCTTTCCAAATGAATTAACTAGCTTTTGGAGAACTCGCGTCAATATATACAACACTTAATATGGTATCAGTTATAATATATGTATTATGGGTGCATTCTAAACACCTACTCGAATTCGAATCGGCTACTTGCTTGTTTTCCATGAGAATGTTTCCCGATTCGATTTAATAAAAAATACAAAAAGGCTAAAACAATGTTTTTTTTTGTAATTTTTTTCTACTAGAAAAGATGCCCATGCGTTGCAATAGGTGAATACTATTTTAATCTTATTATTGTTATACGGTTTGGTTAGGGTGAAATTCACCGTGGAATTTGCTTGGATATTTTTTTCTAGAAAATATTGAGCTGCAATTAGGAGTCCAAAATTCATAAATTATCATGCAAGTGTTTTGAAAGAGATTTTTTATATGACTCCTTTTATATTTTCAAAATCAAACGAACTTAAAATCCGACTCAAACATGGATATGTATTTACAAAAGCGAATGAAGTTAAAAACCGACTTAAACGTGATGATACGGACTCGCGATGCAAACCAAAAGGGATGACGTACTAAATTTGTTGGCAAAAACATATTTAATTTTTATAATAGTAAATATATAGAAGTTTCTAAATAAACTTAAATATATTTATTTTCCAAGTTTTTAATAATTAAAACGTGACTAATCATATGCTAATTAATAGCCTTTTTGGTTTCGCGTGCCATTGAAAATCCTAGCCGAACCTGTGTTCAGAACTAAACCTAAGTTTATCAGGTTGAAATTATAACGCACTTATGTTATCTAGGTTCCTCAGGACGCCTCAAAGTTAAGTAAACAATTCAATAGTTAATCATGAGAATGATTTCAGGGCCTTCGAAAGGTACCAACATGTAACAAAGAGGTATCAGATTTACTAGTACGCTAGAAAATACGGGCACCCAGGTACTTAAGGACCGTAAAATTTTCCTAACTATAACAAGTGATTTTTCTAGTATATTGAGAGAGTATTTACTACTCTGTTTGTTTCACATTACAAGTCGTTGACCTTTTTTATGTCAAACTAAATTTAGCAACATATAAAATATTAAATTAGTTTAATTAAATTTAAAATTAAATATATTTTGATAATATATTTGTTTTGTGTTAAAAATATTACGATATTTTTCTATAGATTTGGTCAAACTTAAAGAAGTTTTATTAGTAAAAAAGTCAAACGACTTATAATATGAAACGGAGAGGATAGCTATAGCTAGAGAGTTTTTAAAACAAGCAATCCAAAAGAAAAAAAAACTCCCTTGTGACAAACCCAGATTTGCATGCATATTCCAATGATGTCATACTGGATCCTCACAGCTCCACTCTATCCCAAAAGGCCCACTATCTTTAAATTTTTCATTTAACTAGCAAAATACCCGTGCTTCGCTATGGTGTATTAAAACTAAAAATATTTGTTTTTAACCGAATTTTTTTACACTGCTTTGGTACTTTTGCTCGCTAGAAAAAGTCTCAAATGATAGAGGGAAATATAGCTCATAATAAATTATTGTTCAATAGTGCATTGCTACGGAGTAATTTCAATCAAAATCACAATAAATATTTTTAGGATTTAATTTGTGATATGAGTCCTTTTAGAGTAAGGCATTCTTGATATAAATTTGCCAATAAACAACATGTTGAAAACAATATATTTCAACATCAACTAAGGTTTTATCGCAATTAAAAAAAGACTAACTTCCTCTTGTTGAGTAATTGTATTTTGTCAGGTAATTTTTATTTTTAGTTTTTCTATGAAAATTAGATTGGAGATATATTTGAGAGAGACAAAGTGGACTTGTTGCTTTAAAAAAAAAAGACTAACCATACCAAATGTAGCCCAACAACTCAATCGCACGCTGTTAGTGCTTCATGTGCTGCGTGCGGCCCAGTAGTGCTGCAGCGCAGAGATGGAGGCCAGCTCGATGCGGGATTGATCCGAGCCACTCGTTTTGATGGACGGTTCGGATCGGTTTAGAATCCATTAAAACGGCCGGTACCAAAACCCTAACCCTATTTCAGTTTTTCCTCTCCTAACTCCCGATCCTCTCAGGCTGAAATGGTGATGACGCACCACGATGGATGAAATCTGATTGTTACGTTTAAGGCCCCCTTCTAAACTCCAACTCTAAACTTCAACTTTTTTCTTTTTCGTTAACACGTTTCCAAACTACCAAACGGTGTATTTTTTGAAAAATAATATATAAAAGTTTTTTAAAAAATTCAAAGGAACCCATTTTTCAAATTTATAATAATTAATAATTAATTAATCATGTATTAATTGCTTGCTCTGACTTTTTTTTAAAAAAAAATTGCCCATACGAGCGTGATGGTGGACACAAGCGGAGAGCGAGAGAGCGGCGCGCCTCGTTACTTCCGCCCGCCCTTATCTCGTTACTTCTGCCCGCCTCTTTTTTCTCTTCTCCGCCCGCCCCTATCTCCTTCTCATCCGGCGACTCCTTCCCCCTCCCCTCACCCTCTACGCATGCCGTCCCCCTTCCCCTCCCATGGCTCCTTCCCAGCACCCTCTTCCTCCGTCCCCTCCCCCTCCATGGCTCCTTCCCCATGGCCAGCAGCACCCTCTTCCTCTCCGTCTCCTGTGTGGTGGTAGCGGTGCCCTCCCCTCCGCCGGATCCAGTGGGAGGGGAGGCGGCGGCGGCCCGGTTTCCTGGAGGGACGGGAGGGGAGACGGTGGTGGTGGGGCGGCGCCCTCCCCTCCGCTGGATCCAGTGGGAGGGGAGGTGGCGGTGAGATGGTGGTGGCCCGGCGTCTAGATCCAGCGGGAGGGGAGGGGAGGCGGTGGCAGCCCGGTGTCCCAGCGGCGGCGACGCCCTCCCCTCCGCCGGATCCAGCGGGAGGCGGCCGCCGCCCTCCACCGGATCCAGCGGGAGGCGGTTGTGGTTCAGCAGCGGCGGCGGCACCCTCCCCTTCCGGTTTGGTTTTTTTATTTGTGTTCTTGTAGTAGTGTTTTCTCTAGGATTTGGATAAAATTTGTGTGTATATGTTTCAGTTTTCCCTCTCCTATTCAATTTGTATGATGGAATTCCGGATGGGATTTTGGTTGTGTGTATATGTTTCAGTTTTCCCTGTCCGATTCAATTTGTATGATGGGATTTTGGGGGCGGACGATTGGGGGGGGGCACGGACGAAAAAATAGCGCACGGACGAGGTGACGATTGGAAAAAATACGAATCTTTTAATTAGTTAAGACTAGAAAAAATACCCGTGCGTTGCAACGGGTGAAGCTATTTTAATCTTATTATTGTTCACTGTGAAATTCATTGTGAGAATTCGCTTGGATATATATTTGTCTAGAAAATCATGTCAAGTTAGCATGCGAGTTTTTTTAAATAGATTTCTTATACGTTATGTATTTCCAAAAGCAAAGGAACTTAAAACCCGATTCAAATACGGATATGTATTTTCAAAAGCGAACGACCTTAAAAACCGACTCAAATACGGATGACGTACCAAAAGTACCAGCAAAAACATCTTCAATTTTTATATTTTTCATTTAATTACGTGATATGCCATTGAGCTACCCCTTCCTATCCCCTCTCCTCCCGTTCTCTCTCCTTCTCATCTTCCTCCCCATCCTCCTCCCGACGACAGCGGGCTGTGACGGTGGTGGCGTTGACAAGCGGCGCGCGGGTGGCGGTGTCGACAGGCGGCGGCGGCGAGTTTGCGGCGCCACACGGGCAGAGCAGCGGTGTTTGCATCGGCGATGGCAGGTGATGGCGGTGGGCGGGTCGTGTCGGCAGCGGTGGGCGGTGGCTAGGGCAGCAGAACGACAGCCTCGGCAGGTGGTGGCATCGACAGGCATGACCCAGGCGGCGGCTACGGCGGCTGCGGCGGCAACAGCAGGGCAACGCACGAGTGGCGGCGGCTCGCGGGCTGACCGGCTGCGGCAACGGCAAGGCGACGCCATCCAGGTGTTCGACGAAATGGCTACAAGGCACGTGGTGGCGTGGAGCTGATAAATCTAGCCAAATATTTTTTTTCCCAGCTCAGCTTTTATAGGAGCCAGCTCCCACTGGAGTTGGAGTTTAGGGCCTGTTTGGCACAGCTCCAGCTCCAGCTCCACCTCCACCTCTTCTGGAGCTGGAGCTCAGCCAAACAGTTTCAACTCCACCTAAAATAGGAGTGGAGCTGGGTGAAGCTCTCTCACAAAATAAACTAGATAGGTGGAGCTGGATTTAGGCAGCTCCACAACTCCACTCTAGACCCATATCCTGGAGCTAAATTTAAGAGTTGGAGCTCTACTAAACAGGCTCTAGAGTTGGGAGTTGGAGTTTGTAGCTTTACCAAATGGGGCCTGAGAACACATATATACTTGCTGTCAAAGGAATACCAATCGATGACCAAT